GTCCAGATACTTTCAATTTTTATAATCACCCTAGTTTCTAACTCCTTATACGTTGGTTCTTTTTTAGTTCTCTTATGATATTTTATATTATACCTGGTCCATTCGTAAAATTTCATTACATCTTCATATATTGGCAGCCAGTGCCGGGTTAAGGGGAGGGGGAAAGGGGGCAGTTTCCCAGGGCGTCAATTTTTTAGGAGCGGCAATTACTTAACGGTTAAAACAAAAATTTTGAAGTTTTCTAATGTATTTTAATTTTTAGGAAGAATTACTATTTATTGAAAAACATGTGTAACAAATAATAAATAATAATAGTAATTAGTAATATTATATTGCATATTTTATATTTATATAGCCTAGTACTTACCACGTAAGTGAGCGTTCAGCGTATTATTAGTAAAATAGAAATACCATATTATTATTATAGCGCTCGGAGGCTCGAACCGACCATTTCTATTTTCGTTTATATTATCGTATTATTTTTGAGTATAAATATTGTACACAATATGTTTACAACAGTAAACATAATCGATAATCGTGTTTGTTTTATAGGCATGGATTTATACCGTATCAGATTATAAAATTTTAGTTATAAATAATTTAATTGTAAATTACCAATAAACTGTTGTTATTATACTATTATCGTCTTTTCATCTTTCAAGTCTCGTAGTAGTAGAACGTACTCATAGTCTTGTCAACTGTCAAGTCATATTGACTGAAAATTGAAAAACAAACGTTTTCTTTTTCTAACAACAGTTTTTTATCTTTCGATATGAGTGGAAAACGCATGAAGTTAAGAGTGAGGCTGAATTTCGCAAAAGAGCCGAAGAAAAAGAATAAAAAAGACAAACTAATTATTTCTCAGACATCTATAATTTAAAGTTTCTTCGAAAAGGTAAGAACTTATGTATTTAATAATAGTATATTGTAGTGTTATCTATTTAATAAAGAACAATGAAAAATATAAAATATGAATAGTCACGATTAATATTTATGCTAAGATTTTTAAAACTAATTTATAATTAATTTATAATACTTCTGACTATTATTTTTAAATAATAAAATTAATTATTCTGTATTTTTTGATAAACACATTATTAATTTTAAAATTTATTTTCCTGTGGATTTTGAAAATTAAATTAAACCGATGATGAAACTTTAAAATCTAACATTGAAGTCTTTTGTAAAACTACTAATGATCCAATTTCTCTATCCCAAGATCCAGCCTAATAGGAAATAATTTCTGATTTGATTGATTATTTTGTTCGTAATCCAGTTGTATGAAATCCTAAAAATTAATTTTGATAATACTATTCGTAAATGTAGCGAATTTAATAGGAAATTATCACATGATGTTTTCAAAAGGAAACTTTTGAATGGTGAAATAAAAGATAAGACAATGGTTATTATACTCAACAACAAAAAAATGCACTATTTTGTATTTACTGTCTTCTATTTTCTAATAAAAAAACACAGTTTAGTTCCACTGATTTAGGATTTACTGATTGGAAAAAATGTTTTGAAAAAGTTGAACAATACGAAAAGAATTTGACGAATAACGAATCAATTCGCATATGGTTCTCAAAACGTAAAATAACTACAGGTATTGATGTTGAGGTAAAAATAGAAATTGAAAAAAGAGAACTTTATTTGAGAAGTATAATTCTTCGTTTAATTGAAACAATTATATTTTTATCAGGCAGAGGTCTTGCATTTCGTGGTGATAATGAGACGTTGGGTTCTAAAAATAATGGCAATTATTTTGGTTGTTTAGAATTAACTGCGAAATTCGATCCACTTATGTCCAAACATCTTGACGAGTACGGTAACAAAGTCCGTGGAAATGTCTCGTATCTATCCCACACTATTTGCGATGAGTTAATAACACTTATGAACAAATCTGTACTTCGTAAGATTGTAAATGAAGTAACGGCAGCTAAATATTTCTCGTTGATCGTAGATTCTACTCTCGATATCACAAGTTTTGACCAATTAACAATTGCCATTAAATACATTAATTTAGATGGGACTGCATTAGAACGAATTTTATGTTTTATTCCATCGGTTGGACATAAAAGTGAAGAAATGGAAGTCGCAATATTAACGAAATTAACTGAATTAAATGTCAACATAAATTATTGTCTTGGACAATCCTACGACAATGTCAGAAATATGTCAGGTATGTATAATCGTTTACAATCTCAAATCAAAGAAAAATCAAAAAAACGCAATTTTTAGCCCATGCTCAACACATTCCTTAAATTTGGTTGGTTGCCATGCTGCTGATGTAACTAAGGAAGGTTATAACTTTTTTTCACTTGCCCAAAATATCTATGTATTCTTTTCTGCATCGACATGGCGGTGAGAACAACTTTTAATAAGTTTGAAAAATATACCAAACTCAATGTTTGTAAAAAACTTATGCCCGACGAGATGGTCATCAAGATTCAGTGTTTGTAAGAGTTTGAAAATTGGTTATAAAGCAGTGTTAAATTCATTGAAATCTATAACTTCAAATTTGGATCAGAAAGTTGGTATAAGACATGAAGCAGAATTCACGTATAAAAAAATTGACACGCTCGAATTCTCATTTATGATAGCTCTGTGGACTCCAATATTAGAAAGATTCGACGCGACAAGTAAAAATTTACAACGTATTAATATTGATTTCTCTTGTGTTGTGAAATTGTATGAATATCTAGAAATGTATGTAAAAGATATGAGAAATAGATTTGATAATATATTAGTTGAAGCTAAGCAAATTAGTGGGCATGAAATATTTTCTTACGAAAATAAAAGAAATAAACGAAAAAAAATGTTTTTATGATGACCTCAATGTTCAAGAAACAATATTTCATGGACAAGAAAAATTCAAAAATGAAACATTTTTACCAATTTGTGACACAATAATTTTATGTTTAAATGAAAGAAAAATAGCATATATTGAAATAAATAAGATATTTGGTTTTTTTTTTAAATATGGAGGAAATTGAAAATGAGATTTTATGTGAAAAATCAAAATAATTAGTAGCTATTTATAGTGAAGATTTAGAACCTAACCTCGAGAATGAGATTATTCAATTTAAAACTATAGTGAAACATTTTTCAGAAGAAGAAAAATTATCCATGCATAGTTTGCTTGAAGCATTCACTATATCAAAGTTAAATGATTCATTTCCTAACGTGAAAATAGCTTTAAAACATTTTATATCCATACCATGCTCAAACGCTAGTGGGGAGAAATCATTCTCAGTTTTAAAGAGAGTGAAGAACTACCAAAGAACATCATTATCTAACGAAAATATGTCATCGTTGGCTCTAATGTCTATCGAAAATTGTATCCTATAAAGTATGGAATGATTTAATAAAAGAATTTGCTTCACAGAAAGCTAGAAAAAAAAATGTAAATTTGAACTTGTGTTTAAATGATTATAATATTTAACTAATGTTTATAATGTTTATACTTACTAATTAATAGTTCTATGATATTAAAACTACCGATTTCTATATTACCGATAATATAAATGCTAAATATATATATTATATTATATTTATATGCTTATAAATATATATAAATTAAATAATTTTAACGGTGTTTTTATAAATGTTATTTTTTATGATGGGTAGAGGTTTGTAAAGGGCAAAATTTTAAAATTTGCCCCCAGGCGGCATATTCATAAACCCGGCACTGTTGGCAGCATATTATCTTTTATGTCACATGCATCACTAAACAAGGCACATTTCCAAACATTACGACTACCTTTCATATTTAGTACGCGCGAACAGTTATAAATTCACAAAATAACTTCGCAGTCGACGGTGGTGATGATTGATACTAATGAAGTAAAGACAGTGACTGCCAATCGGCGAATATTGCGATTGATTTTTTCCACCCTAGTTTTCTATTTATATAAATTACTACATTAAAAATTATTATAAAATCCAAATAAAGTAGTTTTATTTGAAAAGTTAATGACGATAACAATACGTACGATAATGTGTATTATTTTATTATACAATGTGATTCGTTGTAATGATATCACTTAAAACACATTAACAAATATTTTATTTTAACCGAAATGATTAAAACACAAATTATTTTCATTCTTACATAATAGAACCAATGTTTGCAATGGTACACAGAAGTATTTCGAGAACACATGCAACTAAAAAGAGTTAACCACCCACCCACCAATTTTTTTTTTTTAAAAGAAACGTTCGTTCAAATTGCTGTCGGTAACTGTAATTAACTCTTAAAATAACTATAAATTTAATAAATTATTAAATTAAATTTATTATAATTAATTAAAATTAAAATGTCTACACCCAGTGCCGTATAGGTATAATATTTGTGTTATAATAATAATGTTATTTGCTTACCATACTCCATAATGTTTAGTATCCAAGTTGTCTAATTATAACCCACCAACCCACCCATACACCCGCCCCCGACGAAAGCACATGCAATTGCACCCCTTGGTAACCTGTCTGGGCGCCACTGAATATTTGTGTATATTTTTAATATTCCGTCGCGTTCAAAATGTTAAAACAGATAATTTTTTCTCGTTTAAATACAAGTATTAAAATTCAAAACTTTGTCGACAATCCGGAGGAAGTTATACTTCAATGAATCAATTGAAATTTAACACATATCCGATGTAGAATGCACAATCTAACATTATATGATGAAAATCAAATAGCCATTTCCGATCGTATAACGGTGCTTATTATGGTGATGAAAATGGGTACTTGCGCGAGAGTTACGTGAATTAATATAATCAATTAATAAAACACGATTGACAGAAATAATGGTTTCTGGTGGACGGTCCATAACGCCATCTATTCATAGTTTTCCAGTTGCGGAACACATAACACACATAACTGATATAAACTCAGTGGTGGTGCATGTACAACGTCCTCGCGACCGTTCCAGGTCCCCCTCCTATGATGGATCAGAAACCGGGTGTCATGATGACGGTACGATCCGCGGTCTGGTGGTTGATTCGAAAAATAGACGCGGTCGTCGACAGTCGTGATTTAGTCATTTAGTATCGTTTTCGAATGAAATTATTTACCGTTGCTTTCAAATAAACAAACTGAAACATAATAAAATAATAAAGAATCTTATGGACTTTCTTTTTCTTTTATAAGTGTTGTTAGTTTAAAATATTTAAATCAATGCTTATAATTAATAAATATTTAGAATCATGTTGACATTGTTTCGTTACCTGGTATATTTTATTTTGTATTTATTTCCTATTTATTAGGTGAAAGTTCCAGTTAGAAAGTATACTCTGCTTCGGTCGTATTTATACGTGATTGCTGTATACCAGTCGTTATATACAAATTATCTTTCAACATAGAATCATCAATATGCCAATTAGTCAGTTAGAAATATCGAATAAGGTTAGTATAACAATATTTTTGGTTATCTACCTATGTTAATGAACTCAGTTATTTATTGGAACATCATGTTAGATTTAAGGTTAACCGATAAGATGACCTATCAATAGTTGAAATTATTAAAAACTATCGTTGTATAAAATAATAATAATTTTAAATATTCATTAAATAATAGACATAATAATGATATTCTCATCCAATATTTGAACATTGTCAATATTTAATAATTCTTAGAAACAAGAAATGTATAATAGCCTAACCATTTACTATTATTCAGAATATTTTTTAACTAATTAACTAGGCGACACAAATATCATCCAGTGATATACTCTGTCGACAATATTTTGAAAGATTGGGCGAAATTATACGAAAAAAACGTGTAATACTATAATCGTACTATGGTATTACATTGACTATTTTGAGAAAAACATTTTTTGTCACCCAGTGAAAATTCCTTATAAAATGCACTGCTATTATCATTACATTTAATCATTTACAAAATAAATGTATTCACACAATTTGAATAATATTTTTTTTTTTTTTTTTTAAGGAAGATTAATTGCATTGAAATAAAAATATTAAAATATACAAAAAATGAATGAATTAATTTTTTTGTGAAGTGAAGATTTAATCGGGATTCTAAAATTGTGGAAATCAAATGGAAAAAATACGAGTACTCTAACTTGATTACATGACACTACCATGTAATCAGAGCCACTTTTAACGGAGAGCAAAGGGGGGGGGGAATTACCCAAGGGCGGTAAATTTTTGAGGATCAGTATAAAATAAAAAATATATAATTATAATTTTTCTTGTGACTGTATAACTATAATACATATTATTTCGTTCATAAAAACCACGATAAACCGTAGTATACAACCGCTGCATATTACAAAGCGATAAGAATTAAGAACTTATTCTAGCTAATTATATTTTGTCACATTTGGTAATTTTTTAAATTTATATGTGAGGTATAATTAATAATTATAAAATTTAAATATAACTAATAATGTGCTATTTAAAATATATATAATATAGATATTAGTAATTTGTAAATGTATTACTCTTGCATAGTATACACCCTATCTAACTGTAATTAATAGTGTGATGTATAACATTTTGAATTGTAATTTTCTTAAGGGCAACATATTTTAATTTGCCCCTGGGCGGCTATAAGGCTTAATGCAGCACTGCATGTATTATTAATTTTAGATCTCAGTTGTCAAATACGTTTTCTCTCCCCTCCATACGAACGTACCTGTTCTATATTTGTTTTGCCCTTTGTCAATTAACTTATTGACTAGATACTATTTTTATTTTTAATCCAGAATATTTAGTAATTAGAATATAAAGAAATTCTTTATATACATTTTCCGGATGTTTGAGTATCGGTCGGTATTTTTTTTTTTTTTTAATTTAGATTATATAATTGTTATACATCTATGTTGACACAACCGTTTTGCAATTTAAATAAACGATGATATTGTTGATATGTTCATTTTATTTTATTTATCATTATTATCATATTAATTTTAGCCCACTTGTCTTATTTCTGTTGTATTTTATGTAATTTTATTAAAAACCTGTTTAAGGTCTAAGCATGATAAAAACTATTTTTGTTACAATTTTATAATTTTCATTAATCATTATTGTATTGAATACGAGAATATTAATAATTTTTTTTACAATGTACAATAACAATATTAACATTAAGAACACGATAAAAAATAATTAGAATATTAAACATTGGAGTTCAGTAATATAGGTAATACTATCATTTACCAGTATAACGATGTTTTGCAAAACCGTACTATACTGTAATAAAAAAAAAATTTATTTTAGTCCTATCTTACAAATGATATTACGAGTACTTCCCGACAACGATTTAAATAGTTAAAAATAATGAAAATGTATCATTCCAGTTTACTTGATTCCCTTCATATCCTAATTAAATACTTTTCAAATTCATTAGTTCTTATTTTTTTAGATCATATAATATAATATTTTAAGTCCTATAATATTTAAAAAAAAATGACATCGCAAGAAATTTACATATTTTTTAGAATCCTTATATAAATAAATTATTACAATTTTAAATTAGCTGGGAAAATGGTACAATCGGTGAAACGAAAAAAAAATATCCATGCATAAGGTGACCATATATTTTTCTAGTCAAAACCGGATAAAAAAAATAAAAATATCGTCATAATTTTCTTACAAGCAATTTTTTATTTTTATTTAACAATTATTAACAAAAGTTAGTACCATTATAGTTTTAAGGAACAAAAAAAATGTATTAATTAATTGAACTTATTAATAGGTAATTCGATAAATGGTCACCTTATCCATGCAACCCAAAGATCCGTTTAAAATCCTCTTTATATATGTAACTACTACCTATATATTCACGATTGATATTGTTAGATTACGTTTATTAAAACACGACGCACATAAAATTTCATATATTAGATAAATAATATTAAATACATAATAACTAATTTATACTGTGTTTTTGTATCATTTAAGTAAGTTCACTAGGCTCTCTATTATATCATATTTATCATAATGATCAATTATAAAATGTTCACGTGAATGAAAGTATACGAACATGTATTGCATGATAAAATAAAATATATAAATCATAAAGTAGATTACAGATAGTGGTTTTTTTTTTAGTTTTATATCTATTAATACCGGTTTGAACAAAATCTGATGCTTGTGTAGTAAGGTATGTAATACATGAAAAGAGTACTCTGTTCCTTTGAGATTATAATTATCGTAATATAAAAAAATCATGTACATATTCAAGACTTTAAAAATGATTCCATCTGAAAATGATTTACAACAGGGCAAAGTGATTGACTTAAGGAGTGATACGGTAACATTACCTGACGTCCACATGCGTCAAGCTATGTTTGACGCTGAAGTCGGTGATGATGGTTATGGCGAGGATCCCACTGTAAACCGTAAGTTTAAAAAAAGGTTTATCTAAAGCTTATTTCTGTCAAAAAGAAAACGTAGAAATTCATCATAATAATTCCTTAGATGTATGTCACTGTGACTATATTATTATACAATAACATAATATTTTATGTTGTTATTTAAATTTAAACTAAAATAATTTAAGGTCATAACAGTTCATTTTAAAATGCATAGTATGAATTATGATTTACATCCATAACAATCATAAAAATAAAATTGACTTCTTATAAGAACTTTACATATTATATGTACTTTTTTTATTTTGGTTTATTCAGAAAAAAACCTAAATTAATAAAATTTTGTTTATTTCTTGATAATTGATGTTCAAGTTCTATTAAAATTAGAGTATTAGTTATTAAATTATGATGGTTTTGTAATTTTTTAGTTTTGGAGGAGAAGACATCAAACCTTTTTGAAAAGGAAGCAGCATTATTTTTGCCAAGCGGACTTATGGGGAATTTGATTGCAAGTAATACTCAACAATTTGTGTGTATTAGTTAAAATATTTATAAATCTAACTCATTTGAAAAAAATAGTAATAATTATGATTAATTTAATAAAAAATAATACATCTAGAATGGCACATTTTATTTAGCATATTATCAAAGTGTACGTGGTCTTGGCACTAGGTACAAAATAAATCATTTTCATTAAGCCATTCAACATTTTTTATTTTACCGCGCTTTTCGTCACCGATATTTTGATAACAAAATTATTATGAATAATAAAATTATTCATAGCCAAATAAATAATCAATAATATTACATTTTAGCTGTGCTTGGTCATTTTACACAATAAATACGTATTTATATTTGCATAGCTTATAGGATATAGGTACCTAGATTAGTATTTGTTTTTCTTATTATTTATTGGATTTAAAATACATTTTCAACCATTCGTCCACAATTCGAAGACCTATGTTCAGTTCACCGATTACAAGTATCGTACTAATTTCTTTATGAACTAATATTGCTATTTATGATACTTATCCATAATATTTTCTTTTAACTGTTGAAATTATATTATTTTAACTGTTAAAATATTTTTAATTTTAATTAAAAGTTCATAATTGAAGTTTAGAAAAATTATATTTTAACATAACGAAATGGTATATAAAAATGAATATTTAATAATTGGTTTTAAAGGTTTTTATATAATTATGAAATTCATTATATGAATCAATCGTAATTAAAATAGTGATTTTAAAATTAAATTAACATTTAATTTTTTCTCCTATATAAAAAAATTATTATTGATAGTTGTTGTTTAAACATCTAAAATAATTTTATAAATATTAACACAGTGTTATAAAGTTGAAAAATTGATTGATAAAGTGTATGGAACTAAAATATATTTATTAACTTTACTGTAATAATTTGAAAAATAATTGTATATATCAATAACAGTGACCATACTTAATAGAAGTAGATATTAATGAAAATATTATTTTAATCATTCTAAAATATATCTCAAATATAGTTATTTTACTTTACTTTTATTCATATTTATTGAGAATTTAATTTAGTGGCATGCGCAGGAATTTGGTACGGGGAGGGGGGGTGAGGTCATACATAAAAATGTATTATTTTCAAATTGTATTCATTATGATTATATAAAAAAAAATTCAATCGAGGCGGAATTCATCCTTCTGGCTTTTACACTAAATCCATCAATAATTTGTTCTGTAGATAATGGAATGTCTCGATGTACGTTCATTAACGCAATCCATTTAATCATGACTGCCCCGTCGTATTTCTTTAATACATTTTTAAACGTTTAAGACTAAAAAAAAAGGCCATGGGGAGGGGGATATATCCCCAATCATCCCCACCTGCGAACGTCACTGATTCAATTACTTTTGAATGTCAATAATCTACTCAGTAGGTACCCACAACATGATAAAAAAAGTATAAATTATATATTTAAATAATAGTTAAATTAATTCTGTTTTTTGAATCAGTACATTGATCATAACTTATTTATTTATTAAATTTAATTTTAAAATATTAATATGAGAAACACTCATTGAATAGTAACCGATAAATACTGAGATAAATAACTTAGTAAGTAAAATGGTAAAAGTTACAACATTATTCATTACAAATTAGACGAAAATTAAAAATTACAATTTATAAATTACTAACGAAATTGATTATGTGATATGTAAACGTTGTTTTCTCTATTGTACCTTTAAGATTTATGAAAAATAACAAAATATTGTGGCCCATTCTGTATATTCTGCAAGATAATACAATATAATAGATTATAAGATTTTATAACAATATATGTAATACTTATCAAATAGTATTCTTAGGGGAGTTTGATATTTTAATATTTATTGTATGTAAGTAGTATAATATATTATTCAATTAAACTTTCGGGGTTCACAAAATATTAAAATTAAATAATATATCGTAGATCTGTGTATCCTTAATAATGAAATATGATCATTTCAGTGATGGTTCATTCAAATCAACGTGGAAGTGAAGTAATAGTTGGCCATAAAAGCCACATTTTGTTGTGGGAACAAGGAGGAGCTTCACAGGTATCATAATAATATGTATTTTGAAATTTCTTATCTCTGTGGGTTATGTTAAGAAACGAAACGACACGCCCAGGAGCGTAATTAGGAGGAGTATTAGGGGGATGGATCCCCCAAAACTTTTTATGTATTTTTTTTTATTTATTATATTGTGATAGTATGATTATTATTATTATTATTATTAAAATTTAAATTATTAAAAATTTTGTTTTGTTGGGGGGGTTTACTGTATGAGGTGTACAGATTTTGCTAAAACCTATAATCCCCCCCCAAACCAAATTCCTAATTACGCCACTGGACACGCCGAATTTCAAACTCAACAAGTGAAAATTACAAACGAGTAAAATGCACCTTTTTCCTAACAACGATTTATTTGTTTAACCAGATAATAAATTTGTAGTAAAATCATAGTACACTTTGTGTAAATATTTTAATAAAAACTGAATCAGTTGATATGATGATTTTGTCTAAGATTTTTCTATGAATTGACCATGAAAATTAATTTTTTGTTGGGAAAACGGAGCATTTTACTCGTTTAAGTTGTGTGTTGAACAGTAGCGCAAAAAAAAATTCGGGAAGGGGGGAAGGTTGTGCAGTTAATAATTTACTAAATAGACACATTTTATGTAACCATATACAAATATATGGTAAAACGTAAATAAAAGAAGACATTTTGGGAGGGAGTATGAAATCTGAACCCCCCTCTATGTGCACCACTGGCAAGACATTCATGTACCAATATATCCGTGTACCAATATATCCGTATAGCAGCCCTAAAATTTCATAAAAATTCGTAATCACATATTTTACACATTTTAAATTATATGATATAAAGTCCCTTCTACCCCCTTCCATATGATTATAATTTTTAGTAATAGTTCTTTTTTATTAATAAAATTGCACATTATAATTAAGTAATTATCAATCTGTTATTATTTTTAAACGGAAAATATACTTTTGTCTGATATAAATCTGAAAACTATTTACAAATGTTTTATTTCAATGTGGGATATATAACTTAAAATGTAATAGATATATTGAAGTCCTCATCAGCTATCTTGCTTAAACTGGCTTCCTAAATAATACCTTCGTAGTAGTATTATTTATTAATATTTATTAGGTACACACTTCACGAATCCGTAGTGCACACTTTCAGTTTCGGATTACACACTTTGTGTCAAGGTTCACTAAAAAAAATAGGGGCTGTCGTATAATGTAAAATATGGATACTCAACAACAACTAGTTATTAATATGACATTTGGATGTGATAGTTTGTTTTTTTATCACTTTGCGTTTAAGTTATTAAAAAAAAAAATAATAACAAAAATAGATTTTTTTTACTGTACCCTTTTCCTCAATTTTGCCTACATTATCTAAATAATATGAATACATTTTATAAATTGGGCGAAAAATATATAGATCGCTGGATTGCAACTACGAGAAGTAAAAAATTTAGTAGATGGCACTTTAGATATGACAGATTTACGCGGAAAACTACGACCAGAGTGCCCAGATCCTCATGAACCATTCACTTCATTAGTGTGTATAGAAAACACTCATAACTATTGTGGCGGTTCTGCTTTGCCTATTGAATGGATTGATAAGGTATTTAAACATTTATTCAAATACTTCCCAATGTTTAATATATGAGTATTTAGTATGGTCTTAATTATAAATATTTAAAGATAAAGTATAAAATGATTATTATTTATTTGTTTTTTATATGAACAATAAAATTCAACATTCAAAATTGATTCTTTTTTTAATATTTTTATTTATTTTGTAAAATAAAATATAAATATCTTAACTTGACTATTTTCAATAGTTTTATTTATTTACATATATATTAAACGGTCATTGTCCTTATACAATATCATTTGCTATACAACAATCATAAGATAACATTTATAATAAAATAGGTATGATACACTTTATAAAATAAATAATAATAATTATAATACGTATTTGATATAGATTAGATGTAAATTAAATTAATACAATGTGAAGAAAAAGCAAGTACAAGACATAAGAATAATAGCTAGTGAAAATCAAAAGTATGAGTATTGTTTGTAATCGTTAATTGATTAGCAGGATTGTTTAACATATAGTTTTCATCCAAATAAGCAGGATAAAAAAGTGCAAAATTTATAGAGTTAAAATAATTAATTTTGAAATTGATTAAACAAAGTAATTTTGGACAATCAATAAAATCAGATAATAATTTATGGGAAAAATTAAAGAGCAACTGTGAGCGTCTTCTTCAGAGGGAATAAGATTTAAATAATTTAAAATATTATCATACAAACCATGTATATTTTCATTTTTTTCTAATCGTATAATTTATTATTTTACAATACTGAGCTTTAAGTTATCTGTTTTATGACAAATTGGAGTTAGCAGTTAGCACATCCTATGATGTAGGTTACGTTGTTAACGTTTATACTATCGTTTCTCTGTTTTTCCTTCTCCACTCTCCTGTGATGTCATCTTTTAGTGGACCGAAGATCTTCCGTAATACAGTAGATTCTTAATATGACGAATGTCGCTGTCTCGAATTATTTTAAATTTCCCTTGAAACTACTATTACAATTAATAGTGTTTTGCTCTCGATAACTCGATATAAAATTAATCGTTTTTCTTTATCTTGAATTCATAAATAATATTTTTATCACGGTTAAAACAGGAACTGTGCAATACATTAGTGCAGTACGTTGCATACATTTTGCAGTACAACGTTTGTGATTTAGCGCGTTGATATCCACGTTAATAATCTCTTCATAGTTCGTTTGTTCGTTTGTAGTAAAATAGAAAATAAGCGTAAATTAAATGTTCTTTCACTTTCGGACAAAGTTCGTTGAATACAGTTAGTTAAAAAAGGTGACCGTAAAAAATGTGAAATCGCCTATGAATTCAATATTCTACCAAATACATTATCGTCAATTATTAAACAGAAAGAGAAATTAATGAAGTTCAGTTGTGGAAATATAAAAAAAATGAGGATGACTCTTTATTTGGATATTGATAAATGTTTGCTAAAATGGTTTGCTCTGTGTCGAGATAAAAATATATCATTAAACTAGAAAATCTAGAAAATTTTAATAAACTCGATATCCCGAAGTTTTCGATATTTTGAACTTTTTTCTGTTCCCCTTGAGATTCGACATAACGGGAATCTACTGTATTTTCCTTTCTAGTGTTAAGAATTTATTTTCATCTGATTTCACATAGGTAAATGTCATATTATTATTTATAAATCAAATTAAAATGACTTTAACAAACCGTAAAAAGTAACTTTTAATGTAAATTTGTAAATTTATAAATTTAAATATTAAACGTAATAATATATATAAAAAAAATATCTCTATGTTGAGGTGTCTCCTAAAGATTTGCAGATTATCGGCCTCTGACTTACAAAATATTTTCAAACTGTTTTATATAGTTACAGCTTATACAAAATTAATCAACTTAAATATTCTTATAAAATAATAAAAAATTTAAAAAAATTATAATTTTATTTATATTTGTAGTTCTAAACAAAACAATTTATACAGTGCGTCCCATAAGTTTTGAGACTAAGGTTACTAATGTTACAAAAAAAATGAAAAAATTGTTTTAAGCAATTTTTTATTCAAAATAGTCACCATTATATTCTATACTCCTTCTGATACAATCACCCAATTTTTCCATGGCTCGTGATAAATCAGCTTTAGGAATATTCTTGAATTTTCGGGTCACTGCTTCTTGAATCGTTTCAATGGTGGAAAATGGTACACCCTTGAGCTTTACCTTCAACTTTAGGAACAGGAAATAGTCCTGAGGACTCAAATCTGGTTGATTGGAGGATGGTCGAATACTGGAACCATTTTTTTGGCCAAAAATTGAGTGACAATCGCCGCGGTGTGTGCTGAAGCATTATCGTGCAGCAAGAAAAAAGACCGATCTCTTCACAAAACGGGCCTAAAGCGTGTTATTCTTTTACAGAGGCGATCTAAAACGTTTTTGTAGAATTTGGCATTAACAGTACTTCCCAGGGGCACAAATTATTTGTGTATAATTCCTTGGGAATCAAAAAAAAAAAAAAATTAACATGGTCTTGATTTTAGATTTTCAAAACCGAATTTTTTTTGGTCGTGGTGAATTTTCCCCAACCCACTGTACACTTTGCCGTTTGGTTTCCGGGTCATAGGCAAAATTCTAGCTCTCGTCACTCGTAATAATATTTTTTAAAACATTTGGAGTGTTGGTGACCATTTGAAGCAAGTCTTTCGCGTGATAAACACGTCTCTGTCGTTGTTCCATGGTTAGCGCATGAGGAACAAAGCGCGCGCAAAGATTTCTTTTCCCTAAATCTTCTCTAATAATTCGTTGAACAATCGTTTTTGGAATGCTAGTTAATCTTCCACTAACCTACAACCAGCGTTTCGATGTTCGTTCAAAACAGCTGAGACGCGATCAATGTTTTCGTCAGTTTTCATTGTGCTTGGTCTTCCATATCTTTGCTCGACATCAAACGACTACCTGACGGATAAAAAATGACTATGCCACCGAAATACAGTAGAACGGGACATAACTAACTCGCCATAAGCTTTGATCATCATTTGGAACGTTTCTGTAGCACTTTTTTTTAACTCAACACAACATTTTATTGCAATTCGTTGTTCAAGATTGTTTTTTATATGGGAATTATAACTACGATCACAAACATAAATTCACGAAAGATACAATTATACTGCTAAAAATTATCTTTTACACGTGAACCTTTGTACGAATGATTATAAGTGTTATCGTAATAACTTCCCAGAATTTCATAATTATCTAGATACTAGAATTAATTTTAGAATGGTTATAGAAACTTATGAGACGCACTTTGTAAATGTACTTTGTTCATAAAAACAATTAATTTGAAAACAAATGTGGAGTAGGTTGTAGAAGAATTATTAACCATTCTAATTTCCTTGAAAACCCACCATAAGCTGAATTATTTAAATGTAACTGACTCAAAATATGCAATATTTTAAAATATGTATTTATTTATGTATTTCAGTTGGGAAAATTCCTCAAGGAAAGAAACATACCGTTGCACTTGGACGGAGCGAGAGTGTTCAATGCAGCAGTAAGTCTCGGTGTGCCCGTCAGCCGTATAGTGAAACACTGCGATTCCGTGACATTTTGCTTGAGCAAAGGTCTAGGAGCGCCCATTGGTTCCGTGTTGGTCGGATCAAATACCTTCATTGAAAAGTAATTACAATATTTATACACTCTTCGGTACTATGCTTTCCTGCCTACTGTAAATGCGCACACTAGTGTCTGCAGTGAAGTACTGGAGTACTATATAATCTAACCAATCACTACTAAAGGAAATATATCTCCTGTCTAAAGTAATTAATTATTTTGTTATGTTTGTAAATACAATGTTAACTTAAAATAATTATTATCACGGCTGCAAACGCGTTACATAAAATATTTCGAAAAGTCATTTTTACTGCATGTATATACTTGCAATCTAACCGGATATCATATTTCTTAATCATTATCAACTTCTCCCCTCCCATCAGAGTTCGGGGTATATTCTACAGATATCGTTACGTATATATTCATAATATTGTGATTGATTGTAGAGCCAGAAGAGTAAGGAAAGTCTTGGGTGGAGCAATGCGACAAGCCGGAATCGTGGCCGCAGCAGGTGTGTACGCCTTGGACAACTGTGTAGAAAGATTAGCTGACGATCACAGTAATGTCAAAAAAATTGCTCACGGTACGTTGTATCGCATAATATTTATTTTAATCATTTTTTAATATGACACCGACACTTAAATAATATGGTGTAACTGTATAGTCATATGCGTGTACACGGGTGCAGTACATGCAGCCAAGGCTGCATCTGCTCTTTCTGAGATTTTGTTAAGGACTTCTATATACAGTCCTTAAGTCTTTTGGCAGACGAAACAATTTTTTTGTTTTTCTATTTGCTCGTGGTATGATTATAAGATTAATGTATTATCTATTAACCTCGATACGATTCTACTTTTAAAATTGTTTGTACTAACAAATATACAATGTATCGATTGGCGAAGTTTACCGAGTGTTCTTTAGTGATTCGCTTGATTGGTGACTCCGCGCACGCCTGCGTGTAAAATATATTGCAACTCACAGACATGGTGTTTGTATACTAAGACATTTTGAAAATGTTAAATTTATAGTATCATAGTGTATCACATCTGGAAAATTCAGTGTAACTATTGAATATTAATGTTTAAATGTTTAACACTTATTGGTAACACTTACTGGCCAAATAATTTATGATCTTAGTATGCAATATATTATAACATACATTTATAATTGCTAATTCTATAAAGTTCTTCAGATATTTTTAAGTTTTACACAGTTATTTGTGAGTTATATCATATAATTTATCTATATACTGTTGAACCACAAATGTATGTGCCCCCACAAAAAATTTAGAATTGTAGAGTTTTTCAAACTTTCTAGGTATACTGCTATTACCTATCTTATTATTACATATGATTACATGATATTATGTACACACTCTTGTTACAGCCATCCAACAGACGGGTAGTCCTTTTGTGACTGTCAATCCGAACTCCCTTGACACAAATATTCTATTGGTGAATATTACATCACCCAATTTCGACGCGAAAGATTTTGCTTCAGAGCTATTCAAGGTAATTATTATACATACATTGAATTCAGATTTGCTATATTGTACGTTTGTAAGACAGAGGCAACACATGCGGGTAAAGCGTCCTCTTAGATCTCTGGATCATTTACTAATCCCAATTATAATTCCGGCATAGTTGCGGTCAATACTTTTTTAGTGATAAATTCATCATGCATAAAGCATCGAGTCTTTCGTCAGTCATGGTAGATCGTAACCTAGTCTTAACCCTCCGCAACATGCTGAAGGTCCGCTCAGCTGTACAAGTAGTACCGGGAAGCTAAGGCCAATATAAGTTGCCGAAAACACTGATGGATAAAATATTTCTGATTCTATCAGTATATCTGTTATCGGCAATATGGATAATTCAGATATATTTTAAAATGCCTAGGCTTAGTGCAAATTGATGACCCATTTTAGGCAATATAAATAAAACGTATAATTTTCAATATTATTTTACAAAATACCTAGGCATTTTGCAAAATGCTAATTTTTTTTTAAACAAAGTACAAAACATTTTATTATATATTATATTACTTTACATCACTTTCGGTACTTGTCTAATATGCTACCTACCACTACTTCATTGGTGTAGTACGTTACTTACCGTAAAATGATACCTAGACACCAAAAAACGTTAACTGATTAATAACAAATTAACAACAATATTAATAACAATTTATTACTAAATAATTTATTAATTTATCGTTGTCAAGTACTTTATAATATTTCTAACCATATTAAATGTCATTATTTAATTTTATACATTATATACTATTTTTACATTATCCCAGAAAACTTTTAGTAAGTCGTGTTGGGTATTAATGGACTGCCACCATTCTTCTATTAATTGTCGGTCTAACAAATCTGTTGCTCCTTGAGTTTTAATTCTGTATTTAGTTTTAAAAAAAATGTATTTATTTTTTTTTAAATAAAGAAAAACTCACAATGATTAGGACACATATGCGAACACAAGACAGACACAATAATAATATATCTAGAAATAAGTTATCATGGGTCTTGGTGGATCAGATATCATAATAGCTATTAAGCTATAATTTTGTACAACTATTATAATATGTTATTTATCCTAATGACTCAAATGTACTTTCCCACAGTAAAATGAAATAAAAGAAAAATTACTACGGTAGGTAGCATATTAGACGAGTACCTCACTTTCTGATAATTTCTACAACGCTTCGAATATTATATTAATATTATATTTAAATATTTGTATAATTTTATATTTGGTTGTCCAACGCGTTTCGCAGAATAGAGATATGGTTGGAATGTATTTTCTTCTCAGAGGACTATCTCCGAAAAAATGTATTGAATCTTTTACTCTTCCAACCGAAGTACGAATTTCGAAAAGATCACTCAAATCATTAATAACTAAATTCAACTTATAAGAACTATAATGAAAAAAGTTTGTGTTTGGATATTTATCTTCAATTCGTTTTCTAACTCCATTTATTTTTTCGCCGTAGGAGAACATCCGTCATACGCTTGACTGACCACTTTTTATAGATGAAATCCAAATTTTATGGGTGAGCAGAATTTATTCAGATATAGTTTCAGCGTACAAATATTGCAATGGTGCAAAGCCTAAAAATTCTTTCTTTATACAGAATTCACCGGTTGACATTTTGTGCACTCCTAAGGAAATCTGTTCTGTACCGGTCACTTGATTCATCAACAATGACGGAAAATAGCTGGCTTTCTTTTACATCTTTAATTATATGTTCTAGTCATTGTTGGGACTTATCTAGATGAAAATATTATTATCTATTATCTTATCAAGATTAAATTCTACTGGTCATCTTTGTTTTTATCTTAAATGAAAAATGCAGTTATCTATTTTAATTTATCTAGATAATTTTACCATTTTTAATAGATTTTTCCAAAAAATCATTGGTTATTTTTATGACAAATCATACATTTATCAAAATTCTCATCATCTATTTCGTCGTATTTTTGTTTATCTTCTGTTATTGGTACGTGGTGTTATGGCTATGAAAGAAAAAGTTTCAATGATTACCCTTAAAAAGGCTTACTTTTTTTTGTATTTGGTCTTATATGTACTACTCAAAAATAAGCCTGAATAAATTGTGATTCTTAAAACATTATAATTACAAGACTCTCGAGAACTTCTTGAACATTTTTGTCTATACAATCTAAAGTATTTATTCCTTGCTTCAGCAGCTTTCTCAGATAATTTACATATAGGATACAATCACATGTGATAGAACTGTAGCCCCTTGAATTAAAGTTTTGTGTATTGTGAGTAACATTTGGTGTCAATTATATAATTCCCCATAAGATTTTATATAATTTAATAATTAATAATAAGTGAATGGATAAATAAATAAAAAAATAGTTTGTATACTATAAATAGTATGTGGTATATATATATATATATTTTATGGTAATTTAATTAATCAATAAATAAATACTTAGCCTGGAGTATTATTATATTTGTAAAGTACAATCAGTTTCAAATTAAAAAATTCATCGTTAGGTACATCAAAAGTCAATAAAATTACAACTTATTAATCATATAACTTAACTTAAGTTGCAATTTTATTGACTTTATATGTACCCGACAATATTGAAACCGGTCGTACTTATTTCTATATATAAACAATTTGTTTCTTTATTTATATATCAATTTACAAGTATTAACTATTTAATAATTTTTATATTTTTATTTGATTTTTTTTTTTTATTATTTTACTATTAAATAATTGGCTATAATTATAATTTCAATCAATCTCTATGACGAAAAGTTTAAAATACAGGACTGGTAGATGAGTATGGAAATAATGAAGAAATTCGGCTTCATATCAGAATAAATTCAGTTTTAGCTCATATTTCACTTAAAGATATTGATGAAGGTTGGCTTATAATCATCAAAATCAGTCCTAATAATAAAAAACTTCGGATTTTTTTACAACTATTTTGTAGAACAGTGACTCGAAAATGCAATTATTTCCAAATAAATATGGATTTGTTACCAAAAAAGAAATAGGACAAATATTGTTATTGAAGGTTGGTATAGCAGATTGAATAAACAAATGAATAGGCTTTAATCAATTATTTTTAGTTCTGTTTAAATGTCTTAAATTAGAAGCTGAGTATGGAGAATTGATATTTAATCAAGATTTTTTGAACATGGAAGGAAAAAATGGAAAAAATGTTACAGTGAACTCAACAATAGAATTTATAAGACATTACATTTATACGAAGATGACAAGGACTTGAAAAAATGTCTATAAATTATTTCTTTCATCCAAAATCTTGTAAAAAATAAAATTAATAATTAATATAATAAAATAAATTTTAATTAAGTCTACAAATTAATAATTACATAACAACAATAACAACTAAACAAATTAATAATATCAGTTTTTGTTTGTAATGAGATTATTTCATAGATATAAAAAAAATAAGTTACCGCAAATGTCACCAAAAAGGTATTAACCGCAACTGTGCCGACACCCCCGATTATATGTATTCCCTATTCTCACAACATGCTTATACGACCATAAATTTTTCAGGTAGACACAGATGCACACGATACTATTTTGAACAAGATACGTTCAACGACTGTAAGGATATCACAGATAAATGACACCGCTGTGAGAATCGTATTGCACAAGAACATTACCCAAAATGACGTTGCTTTGGTAATTGAAAAGATAAAATATGTCATTGGAATGATTGAACCGGTAGATAATCATAATTCATCGGTCTAGTCGGTATTTTGTACGTGTATTACGATGAAGGGTCGTCAAATTTTCAAGAACTTGAATTAAAATTTCCTCTAAGATGCTTAGCAGACTCGAACGTTTATTTCAATAAAATTATTTTAGAACTTTTGAAATTACAAAATTATAATAATAATAATTTTAAACTTAACATTTAATTATACATCGTTGTGCGTTTTTATATAGTATTATTTTTGACATCATTATTGAATATATTGAATATTTTTAATATTTCTAAACCGTTAATTTTACGGTATTAACTATTATAAAAAACTAATTTTAAAATTTTAAAAAAATGTTAAACAATGAAACTTTAAGTGCCTACCTATATAAAATAATACACGTTAGATAACATTTGTTCTTCTGCACAAAACAATATGGATTTAAGTCGGGATTCGCTTTATTGTTAGAGATAAATAATTTTTTTTGTGTTAATTATTAACACAAACATAAATTTTACCTACAAAATCATTGTATAACCATGACGTAAACTATAATGTTCACAAAGAAATTTTTTGGTCCATCAAATAAACATAAACAAGAAATCACAAAGATAATTTATAATTTCAAAGATTCTAAGCCAATTTTATAAAACTTATCACCTAACTAAATGTATTCCTGGTATGCATCGACGCAATTAGTGTTCTCTCAGATTTTTAAATAATTCCATTCAAATGTTGTTACAATATCACGTTGTCAAATCATTTAGCACACCTATTAATATTTGTATTTATCATTATCGTCAATATTAACGCGTTCACTGGCTCACTATAGACGATTAAGTGAAAATACATAAATAAAACGATACAATTTTTAATTTTCATTGGTTTCAGAGCAATTATTATAATATGAAATTTCCTGGTAATATAAGTCTGATAGCAGTAATATCATACCTTTCTCCAGGGATGATTCATGTGTCATAATATAATAACACCTAGGGTGAATGCATGGCTTCCAATTATTTTTCTTTACCACACTAAAGGTACGGTCTGCAAGGCGCGACATGTCACCGCGACCGATGGCTATGAACGGTCGCCGCGACAAGTGTGGTTTCCAAGATGCGACATGTCACGACGATAATATAATTTTTTTCTGCCAATTATCACAAACAGAAATATTGTCAGTTCGGTTCTAAGTCTATTCAAGCGTGTACGCAGTACGCACTAGCCATTACAAGAGTATATTTTAAATTCTGAAATTTAAATAATAATAATTAATAACAATGGATGAATTGATTTTTAATAATAATAATATTTTAACTGTGCTATTGATAGATGAGGATGATGATGACGATTAATTTCAGAATCATTTATTTTATATTTATTGAATAGGTTATATATTAGTTATTTTATTTACCAGGTTTTCCAATTTTAATCGATATATGGTTCCATATATTATCTTTTATTATAATATTTTTGTAATCCGTAGCTCCTATATTGTATAATATAGGACTATTTTGCACCTCTTGGACCAATATTTCGTCATCAGACAGCGAAAATGTAACTTTTGACATGGTGTCGTCGTGATGGGTCGCGTGTACACTGCTTCTGCAGCAGTAATGTTGTCGGCCGCGGCGACCAAAAGTTGGCACGCCGTGACCTGTCGCGTCTGGCAGACCAGATTATACGATTTCCGTGAAAACATACATTTACGACGTGTCGCGGCGACATGTCGCGCCTTGCAGACCGTACCTTAAAGGTTAGGTTAGGTTAGGTTATTAGGAAAATTATTTCGGCATCAATACAACTTGTTTAGGTGCATAAGTTATAATATGATTAGTTTGTCACTTCGATATAATAAATACATTTTTAATTATTTTCCGCTTTATTGAATTAAAATTATAATATTTATTTTGTCGACGATCTGAAAATGTAATGTGCTTAATTTTATAAAACTATAAAATCGTACCTAGTTTTAAATATAGATATTTAAATAGAAAATAAATATGTAATTTAGTAAATGTATAGTACAATATAATTGTATAAGTATAATATTATAATACTTATGGTTTGTTTTTTGTGATATTGAAAACAATAAGAACCTATTTGAACATTCTTTTATAACCGTCTCTTAATTTCCCTCCATCCCAAAAATGTCAGAATATTATCGCAAATAATGAATCTATGAATGAGCTGACAAGGCAATATTTTTATAGGAATTTCTAATCTGGATTTCAAAGAAAGATGTATTGCTACGGCCACACCGCCAAACCCATCTGGTCGATCTGATCTGTGGATTCTAAAGGAAGGGATATTTATATAACGGGAGGGGATGAGCCAATTTTCGGAGAGTATTGCAACAAGGCAATTTTGTGCAAAAAGAAGGTATATAAGAGAAGGGAGACGAGCTGATAAGCTTCTTACATTCCACTGTAAAATATTAAGATTGTTGTCAAAAATGTTATTATTTACATTAGAAGACATTATGCTTGCGTTAAAAAAAAAAAAAAAAAAATAGGAGGTTGCTTAGGAGAATGTTTGAAGTTGGGTGTAGCTAGTAAAGAAAATAGAGAAGATTCAATTAAGGACTGAAAAGCAGAAGAGGAGAAAGAGGAGGATAGAGAGGGAGAGTTAATCAGAGTTTCGGAAAGTTTTAAGGATAAAGTATGTACCCAAGAAAAATCGTTAGAGTTATTCTCCATAGAGTTATGTTGATTAGATATATTTTCTAAATAACTTCCATTAGGGGAAGAAAAGAAAGGTTCAGTGGATGAGACATTTCTATTTTTATTCGACGTAGTATAAGATTTTTGTTTAGGTTTTCTAGAATTAAAAAAATGATGGCTTTCGTTTAAGTTAGGAAAATTGTCCTCATCAAGGGGCATATTTGGTTTCAAAATATTGGGATTTGGAAGCTGACTATTTACTACATCGGTGTATTTAAAAGCAGAGGTATAATATTTATTTTTCTTAAATTCTAAAGCATCTTTATATGATAAATTTTCAGTAGCCATGATTTTTTTTATAGCTTTTTACGTTGATCATTCCTGACAGCTACGATCTGTAGCAACAAGTGCGAGTTTACAGAAGAGACAAGTTGGGTCTGTGGTATGGATGGATGGGCAATCCGTGATAGAATGTTTGAAAACACCGCAATGACTGCAACGAGGATCGCTGCGACAGAATTTTTGGGTATGCCCATAACGTAGGCATCAATTACATTGTACCGGAGAGCAAATGCTTTGATGGACGTCGAAGATCATATTGTAGACCGAAATATATTGAGGTAGTTTAGGAGACAAAAATTTGAGTTCAACGATATGTGTGGGAACTATATTACCATCTTTTTTGATCGATATACGTTTGAAGCTTACGATTGGGAAAGATGATTGAACACCGTCGAGGAAATAAAACTCTGAGACGTCTGAATCGAGTTTAATGATACCAAAAGAGTATATGAGGTTCGAAGGAATATTAGCTGTAAAGCCATGTTCGCTTAAAACATCGGAAGTCAAACAGAGATTACCAATCGAAATCGAGTCGAAGATAATCTTAATTTTTTTTTGCGCCGGCGGGTTTGATGTTGATTATACCGGTGAAATTAGTGGAGAAAAATTTGGCTGCTTTAATCGGATGCCAATTACCTAAATTTTTATTAACATCGGTGCATTCAATAAGTATCATGACAGGACCGTTATACAGCAGTGAAGGTCTGTTGTGTTGATTGAGACGACATAATAATATCATTTTGGTTATCAGTGGAATACGTAGTATTAGTAATTGGCGTTGAAATCGCACCAGAACCGGAGTGCGATGTACGATCATTAAAATTATCAGAAGATAGTCTGTTGTTAATGATCGAGTCATGCGACGTACTGTTTTCCGTAGATAAGAGATTATTATAATCGAAGGCCGAAGTATTTAACATCGGAGTGTTGTTTAAAATTTGTTGAAATTCAGGGGATTTAGGTGAGAGTGAGTTGGCTTTTGACTTACATTTTTTTTTTAAGATGACAGGTGTATAGCTGGGGTCAGGCGCACGAATAGAAGGCAAAATAGATTTCACTTTGTTTGGAGCAGGTGATTTACCCGACCGCGAGTCGCCGCCCGAAAACGACGACATATGAAGGTAATTAAAATACACTAATGATATAGATACAATAAATATAAATAATAGCTGCGATTAGAGTAGAAGGAGGAACACAACCGAACACTACGACAGCTGAAACGCGAATGGATGACCATTATAAAACAAAAGGTATTATTTTGCACCCAAAAAATGACACGACTGCGGTCGAAATTTAAAGAAACGTTGCCAAGTTGTGTGATGCAGTTTATTAATATAATAATATATAATATAAACATTTAAAGTTAAAAATTTATATTTTTTTCCTCCTGTAATGACAACTAATTTTTTTTAAATATTGTATCACGTTTTGGTGATTTTTATAATCATTATAGATCTGAATAGTTAGGTTGATTCTATCTAAATCTTTTTTTGCCACCGATTTTTCTCGACCTTTGTTTATGGATGAAATAATTGTCTCAGTTTCACCTTGAGTTTCTTTTAAACTTCTTTAATTTAATTTCTTCTAACTGCAGTATTTAACAAAAATGACTTGTAACTGCAAACTACACTTAATACGCTCAGAATTTCCACATTCTCACTTTATCAAAGTTTTATTTATAAAATTGGCAACATGTGTCGCAGTAGTGTAAGGATCGTTTCACACTTCACGGTTTTGACCGTACGGCAAAAATCCGGACGGTAATAACCGGATCATTGGCTCTTTACACATTTTACGGTTTTGAATGTACGGTAAAACACGATTTATGTACGGTTTTTATGCTTAGTATACTATTGTACAGGTTTAGTTTTATAAGAACACCCAAATCGCGCGTTGTTATAATGAATAACAAACAAATTATTGCATTATGGTTATACAATCGTCGCCGCAAAAGAAAACGAAAAAATCGTATTTTTTGGGTACATTCTATTAATGCTCGGAGAGAGGGAGTAGGATTATTTTATAATTTATTTAATGACTTAAGAAATGATGAAAATAAGTTTTTTAGTTGTTTCCGTATGTCAAGAGCTTCTTTTGATGTATTATATGAAAAACTCAAGGATAAGCAACACTGGTCTTTCTTCACGAGAATAATTAAAAATTCTACATTGAATTCCGCCATTATTTAAACAATATGTTACTGTAAGTTTAATCATAAATTTAAGTGATCGTGTCTGATCGAATTCTGCCTTACGAATAAAATCGTATAATGTGAAAACATGCATTTGGTCACGTATGTCACTAAGCTTATCACGCCGTCCGGCTGCCGAATACTGTAGTAGTCCAGGCAAATTAGACTCAATTTTGACAAATAACGGCAAAAAAAGCAAGAAAGCTAAATTTTGGTATACACCTTTATTGAAGGATACTAAGTAATATACTAAAAGTCCCTTAAGATTTTATGACCACTATCTCCGCTAGAGTGCGCTTTGTACAAGAAAAATCAGTTTTTCTCAAATAACTCGATTATTTTTTTTAAGATTATAAGAAAAATATCTATATACTAAATTATAGAAGAGGTAATTACCTATAAAAAATTTACTAACATCATATTATGTAAGAACAATATTTACCTTGATAATCAGGGCCGGCCCTAGTTTTTGTAGGGCCCCGGATATAATAATTTTCAATGTCTTTTTTTACTCCTACCCAGATATATTTAATATGTATTTCAGTCTAATTAATATATTTTTTCTTTTTTCTTTTTTGACTTTACACGAGACTTCTCAGTTAGACCCAGTGATCTCCATATACCAAAAAAAAAAAAAAAAAAATAAATAAATAAATAAAAAAAAATATATACCTATTTATTATTAGGTATTTTATTCTATTGGAATATAATAAATAATTAAAATCAAATATTCTATACACTGTTTTATCATGGAAAGTAAATATATAATAGACATGATTAATTATTTTTATCATAATATAAATATTATATAAATTATGGGCAGCGCAAGGAGTGAAAAATGCTCGAGGATTCGAAATTGAACTTCATAATATTTTCCTGTCATGTTCGATCCGTTGCCATAAGCCTGACCTCAGCCATTTTCAATTTTCGATATTTATTTTATATAATTTAAGTTGTGTGATCAGAATTTCAGACAAATTTAAACCGGTAGTAGAATCGATCGTTACAAAATCTAAAAAATATTCTTGTATGTAATATTCTTGGTGTACTGTATTCATTTTCTTCATCCATAAGTACTATCCGCAAAAGAATAGCAAGTTGCGCACTGTGTCCAATATCTGGAGTGCAATCCATTATGACCGTAAAATACTTTACAGACTGTATGTTTTTTATTATTTTTTGCTTGATTTCATTGGTCATCATATTAATAATTTCGTCTTGTATTCTATGATCTAGATAATGGACATGCGTTTCATTAGTTTGAATTCTGTTAACGTGTTCCTTTATTACTGGATCAAATTTCGCCAACATTTCTATTAAGCCAAGAAATTTCCCATTACTTTTAGAGTAAAGTACATTTGATAAACCTCGAAATGCATCATTATTAGCAGCTAAATAATGAATGACTGATAAAATTCTGTTCAGTACATTTGTTCAATGAATTTTCTCCTCAATAATAGATAAATGTTATCGATTAACTGATTTTTCTTTTCAAAATTTTTTTTTTTTAATTCTGTCCAGGCTTCAATACATTTAAAATGCTGAACAGAACGCTCATGAGTTATAAGTTTCTCAGGCAAGTGTTTCCAGTCATTTGTTCCGATAGTACTTAGATGGTTGAGGTGGGGATTTTCACAAGAGAAAAGCTTACATTTATAACAAAATACGCAATTTTTCGTAATAAAATAAACAAGCAAAACTCTATCAGTTTTTCACCATTAATTAAAATTCTTTTATATAAGTTTTTGGTAAATTTTCGTTTAGTGCCATCATCTTGAAGAATCGTTGGAAACTCATAATCCATTACGCGTATTGGTCCTAACTTTATTATATCATATCTTATTTGATTGTCTATATCGCTTGGCCAGTTTCCAGGGTCACCCCATTTATGTGATTGACTTTTTAAGCTATTATCATTATCAATGACATTTTTTCCAATTAACTTATTGTTATTCTCTAAAATATTGTTTCAGTTGAATTTTTATTAATATCTATGATAGGCGGAGCGTTATCTAAATATAAAGAACTTGATTATTTTGGATGTACAGTAATTTCGAGATCTTCATTTTTTAGATAAGGTTAAAAATTTGTGCATGGAACCCCGGTGTTTCTGTATCAACTCCTCAGCCTTTCGTTTTTTTTCTCACTTTACGTTTCCCAAATCATATTTTCTAAACTTATCACGTTCTCGACCAGTCATTTTTTTTTTTTACTTTCAATTATAACCAAAACTAACCAACAAGCCTATCAATTAAAAATGTATCAATTATTTATTATTTATATTAAGAGGATATTAGCGCACTGTTTGTTTTCTATATCTAGCCTATGCGCAACATAGACAAAATGCATTTACGTATTATACAGAACCATTTTTTTTTTTTTTATGTTTCTGAGTAATCGTAGAATAAAATAACTCATCAATAAAAGCGAATATTAATATTGAGGACATGATATCGATTTGTCTAAATGACTCTGTGTAATGCGTATTATACAGGAGCGGTAATCTACATTCTACAATAATGTATTTTTAAAAACTGTACTTATATGCGTTTACATTATTACACGTTATTCTATTGTCTATACCCGGGGTGGACAACTCGCGCCTCGTGTCATAGTCGTATATCGCTCACATCTTATTAAAAAAAAAAAAAAAAAAAACAATATTAATATTAACGATAAAATACGAATCATAAAAATTATAAAATTTGTTTTTTAACATTTTTGCTCTTGATATTATTGTATTTATACATGTGGCTCATGGACGTATTTATGTTGGCCACCCCTGTTCTATATATAGGTACATCCAATCTACTACTTTTCAACTACTTATTTTGAACGATAACCATGTCCATAACAGTATTCAATCAGAGAATAATAATCATAATAGATAAAAATAACTAAATAATATAGCTTAAAAAAGGAAAGTAATATTACATTATTTTAAATAATTATACTTAAAGTTGTATTCTCTCAACTGACAATTCCATTACCACCATTTATGTTTAAGGCTTTTGAAATTGTGTCAAAAACGAAATTAAACAATGTATATTGCAATTTATTAAAAATAACTTATACACACAAAACACAAACATCATATCATTGGAACGAGTGTAGGTCATGGTATGAAATTTAGGAATACTAAACTTTAAGCCTAGTCCCCGGGTCCAATGAGCTACAGCATCAAGATCATGTTATAAAAGTTTACAATCATCAGTGGTGTCGATACGGAGAAAGAGTTTTATATCATCAGCAAACAACAGAAGTTCGCTGTGCTGTATCACATCTTTGATGCCATTAATAAAGAGTGCAAAAAGAACGGGAGATAGATGTCCACCTTGGGGTACACCAGAAGTAACACTAGTTGGGTTGGAACAGAAGCCATTTATCTTGACAACCTGTTTCCTCTCAGACAAATTTGAACTGAACCAAGATAATAGAGGCTCACTAAACCCAAGATTACACAGAACGCTCATTAATGCACGATGGTCCATGCGATCAAAGACCTTCGCAAAGTCCAAATAAACGGATTCAACCTGTGAATGCTTACTGAAGGCCACAAAGACGTACTCAGTAAAAATTAAATAACAAGTTGTAACAGAACGCCCAGGGCGAAAGCAGTGTTGTTCATCGATAATGATTTTATTAATGGGCCTATGTATGGACTTCAAAATTAATGACTCCAGTAGTTTGACAAGGTGACTGATGTTACTGATTGGCCTGTAATTTATGACGTCCGTAATATCACCTGACTTAAAGATCGAAGTAACCGAGCTGAACTTCCAAATATCAGGAAATACACCTTCAGATAATGATTTATTATAAATGAGAAATAGTGAAAAACACAAACCTAAAGACAGACCTAAGGTTGTAAATAAAAAAACCTGAGACCCTATCTTGACCGACCGATTTAGTAAGACGCAGTTTGACAAAGCTTGACTCAACATCAGAAAGACTAATATTACATGAAGCAAGAAGATTATGTGGTAGTCCGCGTGGACCACAGGAATCAATATTTAAGCTTCGAGGGGAAAAAACTGAACTAAAATGTTTAGAAAAAAGCTCGCACATAGTATTTCTATCGGTACTGGAAATACCATTAAAATTGACGATAGTAGGCAAGTTGGAACCTTTTTTATTTTTCCACACAAAATCCCAAAAAGATTTGGGATTGGCACAAAAAGACGTTTCAACTTGTTTAATATAGTTATCATAGCATTTCTTGGAAAGGAACTTATACTGGGCTCGAAGGTAAGAAAAAATGGAGTAGTCAAATGGGACATCGTGGCTCTGTAAGCAGCATGGGCTTTTATTTTTTGAATGGTCAGCCTTTTAAGGTCATTGGAGAACCACAGGGGGAACCTGGACTTATTGAACATGACCTGAGGCACAAAATGAATGATACAAAAATGAAGAGCATCATATAAGGCGTTAGTGGATTCATTAAAATTGCGATTTTTGAAGGTAAGTCACTTGAGACACGGTGTATACGCCCTTAAAAAGTAGGGTAGGCAACAAAGCTTGCACTGATGTAGAGGACGATATCAAATTGTGGAATAAAGATGACCTTGACACGTGCCGGTTCGATAAAATTATCAAATTAGATAACGTCGCGTAGTGAGTGAAATAAGAAATCCCGGTCGGTATTAAATTTTGGGGAAATGTATTGAACAGACTGACTCCAAATCGACACCAGTCTGACACATGCACTTTTTAAGATCTTTGGAGTGTACGAACGCAAAAAAACGAATTAATATTACCGGAGAAAACTCATAGAGAACACAGAGTACATTATAACCGAAATTAGTTCGGAATACTTTTTTTTTATAATGTTATTTTTATAATTGTTGAACAGATGTGCAAGTAGGTACCTAAATTAAATGACAGGCAGAGCGTTGCAATTACATATTATATAGTATAGATTCTATATTTCTACGTATGCGATTTGATCAAAAATTCAGAAAGAACAAAATCAATTTGTTAAACGAAATTGACTAATCAACTATTATTAAAAATGATCGAAATATCATAAGTTTTGAGTTTTATTTTGATTATTTTTTTTTTTAACTAAAAAAAATGACACGATTGAAACTGTTAAAAATCAAAATTGATTACTGGAAATAGTCAAAATGTTAGAAGTATAAATTATAGGTATCTATCTGAGCTCATTTCGATTAAAAATGATATCGGTATGTACAAGACCTTAATATAATAAAGTAAATTGTGTAGAATACATCTTGAAGTACAATCAATTTAATAACAGTAGTACCTATAATAAATTAAAATTAAATTATTCATACCTTTTTATAAAATGTAAAAATCGTAAAATTAATTATCAAGGCGATCACAACAAACTTCCTTCGAGTCTTCAACGTCTTAACTCTAAATGTCAAATATTCAAAAGTGAAATGATTGCAGATCGGTATCGTCGGGTCGTATTGTTTTAAAATTACATTTACAACGAAGAAAAATAAAACAAAATAATTCACTGATTACTTACTATCGTAAATCGGCCGTCAGCTCTCTGATACGATAGCCGATAATACATTTTTGCATCGACTGTCGAATAGATATTATTAGAACTATTATAAACCATAACGAGCATAACGCTATTTATAAATATTATCATGGCATTTGCATTTGTACAAAATACAATAAATACTACAAAAACATATAACTTTAACTCTATGATATATTTTTTTTCAATTTAACTATATATATATATATATATATATATATACCTCGCTCTCATGCCTTAAGCGCGGGGCCCTAAAATTCGCGCGTGGCCTAGGAAAAATGTCCCAGTTGACCTACCCTAGGGCCGGTCCTGTACTTATGCACAAGCATCTATAGAAAATCATATGAGACCTAAAATTATTTATATTGATTTTGAAAAGACTATTCACGTGGCAGTATCTAAAATTTGGTCTCAATCTAAATTAAAATTATGTAGATTTCACTTAGGACAGGTGTGGTAGAGAAAAATCCAATCTATAGGTCTCTCAGATAACTAAAAATAAAGGTTCAGATTTTGGGAAAATATTGAAATACTTTTTCGGCTTACCTTTATTGCCATCTTATGTATAATACAAAACGTTAAACAATAAAACTAGTACATGAAAAAATTGATGAATTAATTTATGACTTAGCATAAAAGGTGTTCTTGACGCTCTTGATAAGTGCAATAAAGACCTATTTCCAAATGTTTTTAAACTCCTTCAAATATTTGCAACATTGCCAGTTACATCATGTAAACCTGAAAGAAGTTTTTCTACATTAAAACGAATAAAAACATATCTTAGAAATTCTATTGGCCAATTAAGACTTAATGTATTAGCATCTTTAAATATTCATCGTAAGTCGAAGTAACAGTAGAAGTAATACAAAAATTGTCATTCAATCAAAAACGACAAACGAATTTTATTTTATAATAAATTTTTTTTTTCATTATTATATATTGACCATACAGACCATACTAACCAGTGATAGGAATTATTCGAATTCGAATAGGTCTAGCGTAAATAATTCGAATATTCCATCATTTGAATATCAGTATTCGATGCTACAATACAATACGTAACGAAAATTATTTGTTTAAGTTTTCGCTTAACACAAAACGTTTAATAATAGGTATTGTAGCATCGAATACTGATAATAATATTCGAATATTCGTATTATTTACGACGGGGCTATTCGAATTCGGATATTCGAATATACAATACATCTCTATTACAGACATTATGTATACATATTAATTAATTAAAATGAAAGTTTTAGTTTGTACGCATTATATATAATATTTAATATTTATAATTAACATCCTCCCCTTCAGAAAATCCTAATTACACCACTGGTCACCGTCACTATAGTGTTTAACGACGGCGCAACGAAAATACACATTTTCGGATATCCAATCAATTTTTCCAAGTTGCATTGAACATATAAACCTATTTCGAGACGTGATCAATTATAAAATTTATAAGTAAAAAGAAGTTTTATCTTATTTTTCACTAAATATGGACTAGGTCTTCAATCAAAATAATATATATTTATCGTTATGGGACATATAAACGTTATAAGCAATTGAGTGTTTAACCGCTATAAATAATTTAAACATTATTAAATTTAAGCGTTTAAAAAATTTTCCGTTTACCGTTATTGACAATTAAAACGTTATGAAAAATTTAGCGTTTTGCATTATTTAAATTAGTATAAAATTTGAAACGTTTTCAAATGTAGTAATACTATAAAATAAATCATAATTTTTGTTTCTTAATAAAATACCCATTACTTATATAAAAATTGTCTTGGTCTAAAAATTCTCGCGAGGGGGGCGATTGCCCCCATCGCCCCCCTAAAATACGCCACTCTATACAGGTTAGGTATGACACTGATATACACATATAGAAGTAACATTGCGTCAGAGGGTTTTCAGTTCGTGATAATTATTTTATAGCCTTTTTTTTTTTTTTAGTAAAACAGCAGTTTTTAAGATTTTAGCAAACAAACGAACGCTATTTCTTTAAATAACAGTAAGATAAGATAAGTTAAGATTGAGCAATATTTTTAACCATACCTGTATATTCTATTTAATGTTTGAACTTTTGAAGTATAAAATGGGAAGGAAATTGTTGCTGATTGAATATATTATAATCATTTTAAAAGTTAATTTAACAAAGTTGTATTATCATGAAAGCATGCAGGAACTAATTTGTATGTTACTTGTAGATAACTTGGGAATCAAGTTATATGTTACCTATAGATAATTGGGAACCAACTTGTAGTCATTTGATGTGGGATAGAGAAAAATGTAAAATTTATAATTCTTTGGAATAGCTGATTTCATTAGAATTTCATATTTTAATGCTGATGAATTTTTTTTTGTAACTTTTAACTATAAAAATGTGGGAAATTTTCATGGTGTTAATCGCCAAAACAAGATTTAACATTCAAATATTCATATAGTTTTTTTTAAATAATACACTTCTTTTTTTCTAACCAGTTGGAGATTTAATGAAGAACTAGCTAGATATTATATTTTCAAATATCTATAAATTGCTTAACAAAATGATAGAAATTTATATTTATAAAGATTGATGATATAAGCATATTCAGTTAAAATGTCAAGTTTTTATGATAATTATTTTTTATCATATATATATATATATATTAATTATAATATCAAAAAATTGATTTTAAGTAACATCAATTTGCCGTTCTTTTGGAATTTTTAAAATTATTAAGAAAAACATCGAGAAATCTATAAAATATCCTCTTACCACATTTTAATGTGTTATATAATTATAGTTCTTTAAATATATGTAAATTTAATTTTAATTTGATTCAACTATAAAAATATAATTTTAATTATACAACCAGTTGCACTACACAAAATTAAATTACTATTTTCCTTTATAGAGAATTTTAAATAATTTTTATTGACAATAACAATTAATGTTTGAATACATGTTTTACTATTGTTAAATATGTAATATAAATCATTATATACCAGTTAATATAATAAAGTTATTTTTATATGTTTGTAAGAGTATATTTTTAAATGACTAATTAAAATGAAAAAATAAATGTTTAAATTAAATGTTCTCTAAGGATTCGGTACAAGGAGTTCAGGTGGTATCGTAGACTTTTCCCCTAGAAAAAAAAAAAATTAATTAATACAAATTCAAAATTAAATTAAATCATTAATCAGATAAATCTTGATAAATTATGGATCAATTGAATATATAAGAATAAAAATAATAAACTAATCATATAGATAATAGGTTAAATTAAAGTTAATATAATTTTTACACGAAAAGGATAATAACAAAAAAATAAAATTGAGTTGTCCTCACCACAATATTTAATTTCTTTTAAGTAATTAACTAAATATAATTTAAATTTTAACTGGAAAATTGATAATCTTTAAAATTATGTTTTTTAAATTTAAATTTATTTTTCTTTAAAGATTCTTTAATAAGATGAATACAATATTAAATGTAATATAAATATTAATGCTTAATTTAATTCATATCAAATAAATATTTTAAAAAAATGTACCATAGGTTAACTAACATTTTAAAATTAATGTTAACTTAATTTTAGTTGAATATGTTATAAATTGATATTTTACATAAATTTATAATATTAAGTTCATATTTACATCAAATTGTGTGTATAGTAAATCTGTACAATATAATTGAAAACAACCTAATTATAACGGATATTTGAATTAACAAATTACCTACTAAGAAATTGGAAGCAAATTATAAGCATGGAAATAGTTTTGGTTAATATAATGTAATAAAAAAAAAAAAAAAATCAAAAACATAAATAAAACAAGATTTAAATATAATATATTAATTACATTTTATACTCATTGATAATTTGCAGAAAATTATATATTTTTTTATATTATTGCAATGTTTTAATATATAATTTATTTACCAAATATACAATTAAGTTGGTCAAATTGTATTATTTAGTTTATTTAAAAAAATTTCATTTAATTCTATATGTAACATACTTTCTAACATACTTTATCACAATATATATATATATATATATAAATAATAAGTACTTAATAATTCCACAATGTATAAGATATTATAACTATTACTACCTTTTCTTTATTTGTACTAAAAATTAATGTATATCAGGATAAATTAATCTTACCACTATCGTCATCTTCATTCTCATCATTATCTGAATCAAAAGTGTTATCAGGAATGTCATACAAACGAATGAGTGGCTGTAAATAAAATAATAATTTAATAAATTAACATTTACATTTACTAAAGTCAAACCGAATAATACAAACCTTATTTGGATCTTTCATTATAAGATATTTGCCATCCTTTTGTTTCATACACAAATCTATAATGCATCGTAATATTCCCCATGCATTATCCATGTTAAGATTTATTTGTGTGGCAAACTCAGTTGGCTTATATTGCTGTGTACCCAATATTACATGTTTTGATGAATCACGCACTTGTACACGACTAACATATCCAAACTTAATGTAATCCGATCCGGCCAATAAAGCTTGTACTGTCCATTTTGCTAACTTACAAGCATTGTTACGCAATTCAGTGGCTAAAACTCCTCCACGTTGTACATCCAATTTGTGACGCCAATCTACTCCACCAGATAACTATATTTTCAAGTAAAAATACACAAATTTTAATCATAAAAGAAAACTATTTAATAATTATTGTTATACCTTAGAATCCCATTCATTAAGTGCTTTGATAGTCAAAAACTGTAAATCTCCATTGGGAACTAATAATACTGAATCATGTTCACATCTAGCAACCAATACAATTCCATTATCCAAATCCCACTTGCGGTAACGATAAGCAACAGATGCTACTTCTCCATCAGTTTCATCATCAGAAACGAATGGATTGGGTTCATCAAACTTATACCGTGCTTCACCCTAAAATAATTATAATATTATACATAATTAAAGAGTTCTATTGAAACATTTTATTTATTAATAAAAAGAACTTACAGTTTTTAGTACTTGTTGAGAAAAATTATGGTTAATAAATGTAGCTTCCAATGCCAGATTTCTTGGAGAATTTAAACTATTTGCTTCTTCCGATGGAGGTTCAACAGCAGTCTCATTGACAGTAAGTAAATCTAAAATACAATTAAAAAAATAATCTTAAATCTTAAAAAAAAAAAAAAATCTTACCAAATTCGGTGTTATCTCTTTTGTCAAAGAATAATTTATCACCAACTTTTTCAATAACTATATCCCAGCTATAGTTAGATCGAGTACAACACATTAAGCAAGCTAATATAGCATCCGTAGCATAAACATTACCAACAGTTTTTACCAACTATAAACATGATAAAAAAAATTGTTAAATTAAAACAGTTTATAATTAAAATTATAGTAATAGACAGTTCTATAACAGTTCTTACAGAAATAAATATTATTCATTTTATATTTTTTTTACTAAAATCTGAACTTAATTTAAAGGTATAGTAAAAATAAAAAAAAAAAAAACATTGATTGTTTAATTTATTAAAAACAAATTAAATCAAAATTTTAATTCAAATTTAATAATACATCATAGAACTATTTTGAAAGTTAAATCATAATTTATTTTTGCATATGTTATAATTAGGGTTCGAATTTGAAGGCAATATAATCAATAAAAAAAAGCATTTTAAATGTGAAAGAAGGCTAAAAAAGGCATTTAATTTATATAAAAAGGCAATTAAAAAAATTACTTCAAAATTAAAGACTACCTAGTTAGTAATAAAAAAAATTCACTATCATGATCTTAGATAAGCTTCTTCAGTAAAATGTTGACAGTTTAGGCTTAAATACATAAATAATTATTGAAATTAAGATTATTAATAATTTTAAACATAACATCGACAATGCACATCTTCACAAGCTCTTACTGATTTTTACCAATAATAATTAAGCTGTTTAAAAAATTATTATTAAATCAATTGAAAATCAAACACAGAAAAGGTAATTATAAGTAAAAAAAGGCAAAAAAAAGGAAAAAGGTATTTATAAGAAAAAAGGCAAAAAAAAAAATACATCCATTGTCTTGGATATTAAATTAAACACATTTTAATATAAAAATTATTTTTCTATTATTATTAATAAAAAAAAGGCTTTTGCCTTCAAATCCAATCCTTAGTTATAAATATGAACTCATTCACATTAATTTGGTAATTATGAGTCAAGATATTGATTTATACACATTTTCCAAACATGTCTATTCTAATTCATCAATATAATAAACCTAGTATCAAACATAAAATCAAATCTAAAACTGCAACTATTTATATGAAAAATATTTCTTCTCTCTGCTTTCAATGAAACAGTAATAAAAATCATTACTTCAAATGGATTTAAGGGTAAGTTTACACTTTCATATATATATTACTATACAATCCATCAGCATTTGTAATGTAATTCTGGCTCGTTTAAAATAAATTAATGGTAATTTTAACTCTTTTTTTTTTCAGTGCCTTAGTTTGTACATGATTGTATTGAGAAATCTTATATTACTCTTAGAATTTCTGTGGCCCTGTTCGAAAAAGATCATTCAGTAAAGCAAAATTATATTCATAAAAAAAAAAAAATTTTCCGTTGTAATATTTTTTTGTGAATCTTGTACCTCAAAATATTACATATATAATAATTAACAATATTTATAGTGCGACAACTTTAATTCATATCAGAGTTATTATTGAGAAACTTAATTACAGGTGTCACTTACCGTAATATCACAACAGTTAATTGTTTAACATACATAATAACACTACCAATATATTTGCGTCAAATATGGTAAAAAAAACCAGCTGCCAAATGCATTCTTTGTGCAGGAGCTTCACAACATCATACAAAATATATCCAGTTTATAAAATGCTCTAACAAGAAAGGAAAAAAAATCTTTCTTTTACTCCTTGGACAATCAAAAGTGAGAATCTGGGAAGCCTAGCAATTCTAATTAATATCAATATCAACCAATAAACCACCTGACATATCTTTTGTTTCCATATTAATTAATGAACCAATAAAATCATTATTTATTTATTTATTTAATATTATCTCACCTATGTCTGTTCTAAATATATAAATTCATTTTTCTTGACCACTTCTACTCCATAATTATTATTATAATTTTCATACTCTCATTCCAATAGCACTTTATTTCTTAATATTGTATAATTTTTCATTATTTTACTATCTTAATATTTGTTATTAATTTTAGAATTAATGCACATACTACTACATAACATATTACAATATATAATCTATTTGTAGATATTAAATTATCAAGCTTAATAGCTTATACTAATATTAAATGAAAATAATATAAATATTAATATAATTATAATAATAACTGTTAAAACTAGGGCGCAGATGTTAATGCTCTAAAAATATCTTAAAATACCTTAGAAAAAATGCAATTATGACCTAAAAATGTAATTAAAGAAGTAAAAAAATGTATTAAAAACATGAAAAATTACCAAAAATGCACTGAACATTTTTTTATTTTCTTTGATCAATGCTTTCCACAAATGTAGATTGTTATCGTCATCGACTATTATACCATAATTTAATGACATAAAAATAACATAAGACGATAAAGTGTAGTTGTCAATAATATGATAAAAGAAAAATATTGAATAATTGAATTTTTTTTAATTTTTTCCAAAAATGCTTAATTTTTAAAAAATATGAAAATAATGTAAAAAGTAGTGATAATACCAAAAATGCATTAGAGAAGTAAATACAACAAAAAATGCAAGATAAAAATTGAATTATATGAATCTACATCACTTGAAACATATTTTTACCACACTAAGCATTACGTAAAGATTTAGAAAAAAAAAAAATGTATTTTGCATTGAAATCCGCGTCTAAGTTATAACATAAGTCAAAATAAATTTTACTAATATACTTACTTTTCTTATAATCGGATCATCAGTAGTAGTCACAGTATGGAAAAGCCTATCTACACGTTGCAAAGGCTTTTCATTTTTAACATTTATTCGATCATATGATTTATCATAGTATTCCAAAGAACCACAGCATACACTTAAATTTTTTTTTTTTAAAAATGTTAAAAATAATCAAGTTTGGTTATTAAACAAATTATTTAAACTTACAGATCTTCTGGCTCTTTAACTGATGGCAATGATAATTTTGAAAACCTTACAAAATCCATTTCTTCAATAGTATTCCAATCAGCACGTACCGTAACTGAAGCATCACGACTTTTCATTTGCATATTATTTTTATTGGATCGTCCACCTTGATTCTTATTCCAACCTCTACGTGCATTTGGATTTTTACGATCCCTACAAAATTATTTCATAAATTACAAAATTGATACCATTCATTAACTTTTTAAATAAGTAATATTAATATTATATAATACAAAACTAAACTATGATTATCTTCATACAACGTAATAATCAAGAAATAAAATTTTAACTAGTAAAATGATACGATTCATAATCCATTTTTATTTAAAATACTTATAAAGATGTTTATTTAAATAAAACTTAATTTATATTTTAAATATTTAATATACTTTCAATAAATTAAATATTAATATTATATTAATCACGTCCATGTCTCAAAATAAATTCAAGACATTAATTCAGTACTTAAGTGTTATAAAATTGATTTTATTATAATTAGTAATATATATGATGACAAAATTATATAATATACAGAAGCATTAGGCGTTTTAGATAATAAGAGAATTCCATCAAGGCTGAAAGGTAAATTTTATAGGAGTGCAGTAAGACTAACTATGCTATATGGTTCTGTGTTGGGAGGCTGACAAGAGAATAAAACAAAGTATGAGTGGAACGACAAGAGAAGATAGAATAAGGAATAAATATGTGAAAGGTAGAAGTGTAAATAGTGGACAAAATGAGAAAAAATAAACTAAGATGGTTAGAGCATGTGATAAGGCGAGAGAAAACAAAAGCAGTAAGAGTGGTTATAAAAATTAACGTTAAAGGGAAAAGAGGAAGAGAAATACCCAAAAAGAGATGATTGGACTAAGAATGATATGAGGGCTGTTGGTGTATGCATAGGGGATGTAGAATATTGAGACGAGTGGAAGTTTAGGACAAGGGTGGCCAACCTCAAATAGTTGAAAGGCGAAAAAGAAGGAGATATAATACACAAAAATATTTAAGAACACCTTATATATTAACACAACATTTATAATGTATACTAATTATCTAATAAATAACATAATAAGATATAATGAAAAATACCTTTGAAGTTTGTTTAACTTTCCTAGCGATTGGAATTGATTGGAACCACCAGGCAAACGTGAAAGTCCACCACGGCCCCCTTGTCCACGCATCATTCGACCTCCTTGACGGAAATGACGACCACGCTGATAGGGAGGTTTTTGCACACGAGCTGTATCAACTAAATGGAATGTGTTTTCATCTTCTTCGTGATAATATGTATACTGTGTACCACCACCGAACTGAGATTGGTATTTGTCTGAAAAACGAAAAAATTAGCTATTTTTTTTTTTAATGTAAATGTATACTGGTCAACTATGACAGATAATAAGAATACTCACTCAAATATTTCTTGTCTTGTGACATACCAGTCCAGTCAGAAATCTAAAGATAAAAGAAAAATCAGTAATTATTACGAAGTAGTTAAAATCGCCTTACTTTTCCCATACGATCTCCCTTTGAAAATGGTTGATATGGCATGTCTTTAAATTGATCCGGCATTTCACACGGTCCCCATCCGAACGGATTATTTTGTATTTCCGGGGGTACAAAATGAGGCACTTCTTCCGGCATCATGAAACGTTTAGTAATAACACTACGTAGAGTTAATAATTAAGAAGCAAAAGTAGTTTCGAATATCGACCACGAAAGCAGAAAACTGATCGTATAAACAACAGATCAGTCGATGGCTATGATAATATTTGTTAACCTAAAAATAATTCCATGATCACGCGTTATCGAGGAGGTTCCATTTGACCGCTGTATATAATAACCTATGATTACGATATCGTGCGTTTGATAATAAATGGCGGGGTTTTTGAAACCGAATATATATTTAAATAAATAAAATTTATACTATTACGAATTACCAAGTTCATATCACCATTGGGTTCAGTGCCACATTTAGAAATTTTGCGCCTTAGCGCAAAAAAAAATTGGCGTCCCTCTAAGGGGCCTACTCACGGAAAATATAGGAGATAGATCCTCTTATTCTAAAATCAATGCTTTTTTTTTGTGTAGTAGGCACGCTACCGTACGCCGTCCGCGATAACATAATACGCCATATTATTATAAATAACTTATGTTTATTGATATTATCACTACACATTTGGGAAATAATATTAGGTATATTAATATTTTGAATCGCTGATAGCTATATTGCTATAAATACATTAGTTCATAGTTGTTTAAATTCCAAACAACATAATAAATTAACATTAATTTACGACACTGTTATTAAAAACAAAAATAATTATAATTTTAAAAGTTCAATAATTCACAAGTAAGCAAATTTCCGACCACAAAATTTTGGCACCCCCAGAAAACTGGCATCCGGGGCAGTTGTAGCCAATGCCCCCCCCCCCCTGATTGGGTTTAGAGATGTACACATTCAAGTGTACATACGAGGTAGTAGCTATTTAAAAATGGGATTACCTTCTGATATGAACAGGCACGTAACCAGACATATTTCTATAAGGGGGCCAACATTTTTTAGCCCCTTACTGCAGTTGTGTTTATTAAATGTGCGTTCGATATCCGTACTTGGAATTCCTAGTTTTCAATCAATTAATACACGTACTATTGTCTTATCTCAAATTGTCAAGTGGCAAATATTTATTAAATAGAATCTCAGAATTTAATTTTTGTTATAGGATCGTTAATTATATGGAATGGGCGCATGTTAACTCCACCACTAAAAAAAAATCATGTAAAATTGAATAGGTACATGTAAACTTCGCCAGTGAAGAAAATCGAGTAATAATGTAAAATTAATATGATATATTATTAAAAGTAATACGTAATAAGCATAGACGGATATCAATAGGGGGGGGGGGGGGTTTGCCCCCCCCAAATATTTTAATAGTCTCCCCCCCAAAATCGAAACTTTGTTAGAAATTGTATTCGTTGTTTTTATAATTTATTTATAATTATCTGTTCAGTTTTTTTTAAAATCGTAAAATATGAAATAATAAAAAACTATTTACAATAGAATTAACAATACTAATTACATAGTTTGGCTACTTGCGAAAGAAGTTTCAGTACAATGAAAATATAATAACTTGGTTAAGGACATTGTTGGTTCAAGATAGGTTCAACAATCTTTCAATACTATACATTGAAAAAGATAAATCGAAAAATATAAAAAGCGATAATATTTTGAATATCTTTGCTAATACAAATAGTTATTTGTCATTAAAATAAAATATTAATTATTTTTAAATATACGCTATTTAGTGTTTTTTTTAATATAATTTAAATATATCTATATTTTTAAAGGTAATAGTTTTACTTGTGTATGGGAAGGGGGTGTGGGGGCAAAGCCCCTGCGGGTTATTTTACATTGAATTATTATAGCCGCCCCAAAAATTCAACCAAATGTTCGCCTATGGTAATAAATAATAATAAGCATAGATTACACACCTTTCGACTGATTGAGTGTGACAGATCATCTGAGAAAATGCATCCAAAATTTCACTGTATACTAGATCCATGTCTCTTATTATTTCAATTATTGTTTGCGTATTTACTGGTTTTGTAATTTTTTGGGTGATATTTATTTTTGTATTTTAGTATATACATTTCCACGAACATATGAAACATCATGAATTAGTAGTTGTTTCTCGTAACGAAGCTCTTTTTTAATTACTTTGGATGTCATTTCGATTGTATTAATTTCTCGCATTTTTCTTTTGATATTATAACTATAACTTACGGTTTGATGTTCAAATTAGAATCTAATTCTCTCTTGATTAGATACCCTAAAATAATTTTACTCGTCGAATAAAGTTGTCGTTCAATATGACTAAATTGGTTTTACGCTTTTTATTTGAAAGTTCAAAGAGAAAAACTTTTCACTTTCATATTTTATAACCAATTTTTTGATTCTTAATGAAATTAAAATGTAAAATTATGTATCACCATTAATTTATTACTATACTAGCTAAACATTGTTGTACATTTTATGTTAAATTAATAGATTATCGTCTAGTATTTTTTTTTTTTTTAATTTGTCCACGAAGTTCTATCACTGAATGGATTCTTCCATCTATTGTAAAATCTAACCACTATTCTTACATCATTAATGCTTATTGTAAAAATATATATTTATAAATTATATAAATACGTTTCTAAATAAAAAAAAAATGTATTTATTATATAATGATCTATATTTTATACCCAAAGGACGCGATTAGTATATCTAATAGGAGTATAGTACATGTTGATATAAGATACTGAATAATCCGACTTCGCACGGAATCGTCTTGGCCTGGACATAGTTTTTAACCCTTTCACTGCTATGGACGCATATATGCGTCCAACGTAAGATACTGTGGTGCTATGGACGCACATATGTGTCCTATCCACAGATATATACAATAACTAGATAACTAACTAGCACATTTGGAAGTTAACTGCCATATGTGTGGTAGTTAATATTTACATTAATTATTGTTATAATTTCTAATCATTATAAAATATAATTTAAATTAAAGTGTTACAGTAATTTAATATATTTATTATAAAATTATAAAATATACAATAAAATTTTTAATTTTGTATGACTAATGTGTATAAATATGCAATATATAAATGTATATATGTTTGGAAGCTATATATGTGATTATGTCTTTATAATATAATAATATGATAATAATTTCAAATTGATAAAATGATAACAAACAAAAACATTGACTACCATGCATATGGCCACAGATATGTATAATAAATTTATTATACATATCTGTGCATATGGCTTTCGGCTTCTTAATCATAATCACAGAATAAAACAGAATGGACATTGATAACAAATTACATGGGCAGCATAGGATAATAATGAAATCAGTCAGCCATTTTATTTGAGGTACAGCAGAAAGTTAGTAACTTTTTATTCAATCATGAAACGGTAGTAATATTCTTTATAAGCGCATTTTACTGCGTATTTTCAAATGTTACTAATAGTAGTATTATTTTTCAAGGTATTAGGTGCAATAAGAGTTTGAGATTTAGGGGGGTTATAAGTCTTATACTATGGTATGACCATGGATCGATCCCCAACCTCCCATCATTACCAAAAAAATAAAAATGTGTTTTTGTAAATGTATTACAATTGTTTTTGTAAGTTTACTAAAACAATGATTTGCATTTTATACTATTATATCGATATAAACGTTTTTAATATACTTAAAAAATTTATATAAATACCTGTATAATACTATTTAATCATCGATGAATCTATTTTATATATTTTTTTTTTAAACACTTCCCATTCTGAAATCCAGCACATGGGCCTGTATTATGGTAGACATTTTTGTACACTATTTATTGCATTATTTGTTGACTATTTGTACCCAATACATTACCCTTAATTATTATTTTATTTATATTTATATTATTATTGTTGTGCCAATCAGGCAAAAATTTTGTTACTTGTTTCAATTTATTTATTATACAAAATGTTGTGATATTTATATTTTAAATTTCTTATTATTATACAGTCCACTACCAACATTATTTTATTTTTGACTTATCCTGCTCATTATTTATATTGGAAAAGGTTACACTGCCTATTACTTGCAGTGACCCGGTACCCTACACAGTAGGTCACCATGTTTCACACTGTTTGGTAGATCACATATTGAAAAATTACCATAGTTGAAATTACAATTAATAACGAATATCAGTTATCACTGATTATAATTTGATAACAAAAGTACCTCAATTAAAATGACCGCTGATTTCGTTACCACCGTGTTGTGTCCACCCCTTGTCATAATAAGTCAGACATAATCAGTTATCTATCTAATTGTGGCGGTCATCTCGCTACGATCAATTTGGCTACCAACGTGATGGCACGACAATCAAAGCTACTTTTAGGTCGGTCAGCGGTGGCATTTGACAGCCCCGCCGACTTACTGTCTTTTTTTCCCCGGTGTAGCTTTCTTTTGTCGCGTCATCCTCTTTTCTTTCTGTACTTTCGTAGCCGGAACTACTCCGATATATTTTTATTATTTGTTCTTTTTATTAATAAACTATCAACTTAAATCAAATCTCGTTTACTTTCTTTTTTAAATTGGTTTGTTAGTTTAAACCTTTTATTACAGCCAAATATTTATTGTATATATCTTTGGTCCTATCATTTTAAAAATGATATAAAATGATGAATGGTAAATGATTAGATAAATCCAAAGAGGCAATAAAAAAAAATTTTTGAACATTATCAAAGAAGTTATAGGTAAAAATAAATATTTGATTTTCCAGGGTTCTCAAACTATGATTAATTATTGATAAACGAAAATATTTCAAATCAAATTTTATCTTGTATGTGATATGCTTCTTAGTTATGTTGAATGTGTACGAAAATCAATGAAGTGGTATAAAAAGCAAGTACAAGTCTGAATATTTGATTGATTTTGTACTTGAATTTAATCGAGTGCATTTTAAAAACCACTGTCTAAGAGTTGTACAATTATCTATAACTTGATGAGTTTTGGCCCAAATTCTTTTTTTATAATTTTTTAAGATACATTGAGATATCTTTATAAGATGGAAATACCATTTAAATATTTTATGAAATATAGTAAGCATAGAACAGATGCTTTAGATTTTTGAAGGTAGCAGTGAAAGGGTTAATGCGTTATTAAACTATTTAAAGCCTAGTGTGTGGTAAACAGTGCTCGACTTGAGGAGGGACGCAGGAGGACGGAGTACACCAACTAATTTTCAGAAATTTTAGCATCCCCTTACTATTATTACACTATATTTCTATTTCTATAACCGTCAGGAAAATTAGATCCATTCCGTTTAGAATTGCTATAGATATCGATAAGAATATCAGCTTCTTCCTTAGAGTTAAAAATGATTTTTATGGGTCAAGAAGAGCGAAATTTACCAAGGCGTATAACTTTAGATGACACGGGAATAATATAGTCAAGTGGCTCCAAAATACGACCGATTGCGATTCTGTCATCTAAGATACGTTGAGAAGTAGTTGAATGAGCAGATTCAGTGATACCATAGATTAGTGTTTCCCAACTGGTGTTCCGCGGAACCTAAGGGTTTCGTGAGCTTGAGCGAAGGGTTCCGTGAGAAATTTGGGAAAATATAAATTAATCAGCAATATTTTGATTTGAACATAGAACTCAATATAGAACTGGAATTGACACATTTCCTGATGTGTGGTGCGTAGTTTGTAGCTTTTCGGCGTATACAAAGACTAAGGATAAGTTTCAAAATCAACTGAACGCAGCTCCGGACTTACGAATCCAACTTTCAGGAATAACTCCAAATTTAAAAAGAGTTATGAAAATATTCCAATCTTCTCATTGAATCTATCTTAGAGATAATGAGAGATAAATATTAAATTTTAAGCTTTGATATGTACGAGTACATTTATAATATTGTAATAGTAATACACAGAATAAAATGTTAAAGCCGTCTTGTTTTTTTTTATATTAATGACTCTTGTGCCGGAAGTGTCCGGTAAACCACTCATTTAAGTATACAAAACATATGTCTGTATTAATATTATAGAAAAAATATTGGGGTTCCACAAAACGTTCAATCTCTTGTTGAGGTTCCGCGGGTAAAAGAAGTTGGGAAACACTGCCATAGATGATAGCGTTGGAGGCGCATCTTTCTCGCTCAAATTTTTCATGCAATATATGAGATATAATGGCAGGTGTTTGTATAACAGGCCCAGTAGCATCCGAATTATCAACCTTCAACTTCAAATCATCTAATTCAGAGCGCAATTTCGCATTTTCCATTTTAAGCTCAGATACTAGCGATGATAGGTTATTGAAATTATTCATTAGATCAGACAATGATGCAAGCACTGATTTGTTCGAAGTAGGACTGCACGATTATTTTTTTCCCCACAATAATCGAATATTAGTTAAATGTTCGATTATAATCAATTAATCGAATAATCTGAGAGTATTCGATTTTTATCCGAAATGACGAATAATCGAATAATCATACTTATACTACACAATATATTAGTGTTCTAATAATAATAATTTACCAATATTAGTAATCAAATAAATAGTCTGGTTTAAACGATTTATTCATAAAAACATAAAATAAACTAATACAACAAATATGAACTGCCGTTCACCTTAAGGGTCAGTCTTAATCTTGAAGTTAAATTAAAATAAAATAATATTTAAAACACTGGTTAGCTATATAGTCCTTATTCATAGTTATAAAATAAGCTGACTGGCGTGTTCGTTAGTTAACGATGATCTATGATCAGTTAATATACATCCCCCCTTTACTAAAAATACGTTCAGACGCTAAGCTTGTAGCTTGAATGGTCATAACTTTTTTTGCTGAAACGAACATAATAGGGTAAGTTGTCTTGTTTATGTTCCACCAATCTAGTGAATCTTGTTCAACACCAATTTTTGGATTGTTAATGTATAAGTCCAATTCATTTTTTATTTTTTGGCTTAATGGAACTTCCTACAATGATAAAATTAAAAAAGTAGTAACAATAAAGTAAAATAATTTATCTTCAAATTCTTACTTGAAAATTATCCATGTTATTATTTTCAGGAGTACCAAAAATTACAGACAACCCAGTTTTTGGTTTTTTTTGTGATGCCAGTTGATTAGAAATATTGTTGACGTAACTATCACTTTCGATACGCTCGTATGTTGTTTCACAAAATTCAGCGATGGTTTTCTTTAAAACCGATAAATCATTATACTTAATGTACTCGATTTTGAACCTAGGATCCAATACGGTACACATAATCAGTAATGCGTTATCTTGATAGCGTTGATCTAGAACCTCAATAATAGTTGTATACATGTTTTTAATTTGTCCTCCATTGATGTCCGTATCATCACTTTCATTTAGTTGTGTTATTTGAGATAATTTTGATTTAAGCGAAAAAATAACTGGTAGTATAGCCGAGCCCATGACATATGAATCGCCAGCTAAATTGTCAGTTATTTCCTTGATTGGCTGTATAATTCAACTTAGGTTTTCTAACACGATAATGTCTGATTCTTGAAGAGCCAAATTTTTATATCCACCATTTTTATATGTTCGTAAGAAACTTGTGAGTCCAAGTTCTTGTTCAATAATAACAATAATTAATTCCAACATTGACCACCAACGCGTTTTTGAGTAAGATGGAAATTTTTTATTTGGTAAGCTAAATTTTTCCTAAATTTTTCTCATTTCTCGTACTGCCTTCCAACTATGGGCAAATATATTATGGATTAATTTGATTTTATGGACTACATCTTTTATCTCGTCCATATTAAAGATGCGTGAAACTGTCGTGTTAAGAGCATGGCCAAAACAAGCTACATGTGGTATATTTAAATTGCGTACAGCCTTTAGCATATTAGATCCATAATCAGTCACTATCGAACATATTTTCCTATCCGGTATCTCATAATCTAAAAACAACGTTTGAACTACATCGGCTATATTCTCCCCAGTGTGGTCTTCCGACAGTTCAATGCAACCCAAACAGGCTGAAGTTAATTTGAAATTATCGTTGATAAAATGGCACGTGAGACCAATAAACGGTTGGTTTGAACTTGAAGTCCAGCAGTCCGTGGTAAAAGTAAAAACATCGGCGCTCCTAATTATGTTCCCTATAATGTCACGTGTTTCACTATACATAGACGGAATTCGGGATTCTGTAAGAGTTTTTCGACCTGGTAGCTTGTAGCTAGGATTTAACTCATTTACAAATAGTTTGAATCCATCCTTTTCCACTAAACTATACGGCATCATATTTGTTGCAATGAAATAGGCAAGTGCATTATCAATTTTGATTTTTGCACTTTTATTCAGAGTGAATTGCGTCATTTTCATTTGTTTAGTTAGAGTTGAATTTGTTTTGTGAACAATGGCTATTGATGAGGGGTCAGTAATAGGAGACGGATAAATACATGAATCAGTTGAATCTGATTGACCTAAATCTGGTTAATAATTTGAAGTAGAAGGTTGTGATATTAATGAATTTGATTCCTCAATCTCAGACCTAATAAAAATATTATGAAATAGGTAAATGTATACTTAGATCGGATTAACGAGCAGTTAATCGATTTTAAAGCAAATTTATCAGTAAAGTCCGTACAATTACGATTAATAAAACCCAGTATTTGATGCGTTTTATTAATAACCATTTGAATATGACAATCGAATTTTAATTTTGGATCAAATAAAATACCAAGGTCTTTAATAGGATCCATGGAGCGTAGAAGAGTTTCACCACCAATTAAATATTTAGTATATTTGGTATATTAGGTAAATTTAGTTATTTATGTTGTCACCATCGCGGCATCGCTCATAATTCATAAGGACAACCCCCGGAGGCAGGAACTCAATCGATTTCTAACTTTTTAAGTAGGTAACTAGTAGTGTATTATGGTATTTAGCATATCTTATTTTAAATTATTATTTTATATAGGTAGCTAAATATTTAAAAAAAATTAAAAAATAAAAAAATTGCTACATGAGAAATCGAGTGAATATCCAATCTTGTAAAAATTTAAATTTAAAATGCTCATAACAATTTATTTTGAGTTGTTTATAAACATTTTTTCATTGATAAAATTAGGCAAACTTATGAGTGAGAAATCTTGTGTTACATTTTCAAACCTTAGATTTAAAAAGAAAAGTTTTTATGAATCGTGCCTATGTATTTTTAATATTTTCTATCTGCTATTAGATTAACTTATGAGGAACCTTGTATTAATTTTTTTGACCCATCGAATAAAATATTTGGTGTAAATTTTAAGTTTCTACAATTATTAGTTTTTATATAACAACAAAATAAGAATATCGGTACAACAGAAATTGAGTGTATATCTAATATTGAAATTCAAATGCTCATAAAAATTTAATTTGACTTACTATTTTACTATTTTCGGTAAAATTCAAAATTCTTAGCAATCGTAAACTCGTGAAAAATAATTACAATTTGTGTGTATTTTAAATCAAATTTATATTGAACTAATATTTTACTATATTGAATCATGATCTACATTAGAGCTTATAAGTGTTTACTTACTCATCTTCGTCTATGGAAACATTGGAAACGTCTTGATTAAATGCACTTCCTGATAATCCAATTCGAATTCGATCAAGTTCAATAAATTTTGGCTTGTGTTTAAATTTTAAATGGTTTCACATGTTCGTTGTACTTGATCCTGGATTTGCATATTTTTTTTTTTCATATTGAGCATTTCACTTTAAGACCAACATCGTTTTTACTAAATACTTGCCATACCTCACTCATATTGAATACTTGGTAGTTGGTACTTAGTACTAATGAAATAAATAATAAATATTTAATTATATGAATTCCTCAATGTATATATAAGATATAGTTAGCCACTAGTAACTACTATAACTAGTAGGTAGTAAGTACTTACTTTCGTTGTTTTGTATTTCTGTAATCTGTATAATATATTATTTGGTATAATTATTAAAATCCACATGTGCTGAATGCTGATGGAGAATGAAGACGAACTAGTTACGAATTAGTGTTTACCGTCCGACGTCCGTACTCCGGGTAAACAAGAATAATCCAATAAGAAATATTACGAATATTACGAATGAATAATAAAATATAAATAGCATCTAGTAATTAACCATAATCATTATCAGTTTATTTAGATTATAAATATAAAATGTCATTGTATAATTTGGTAGACCCGCGCATACATGCAACACTTATAATTATTGTTTTATTTTTATTTAATATTATTTGTTTTTTTTATTTAAAAATAGATAACCTTCGGCGGCAGCAATGCCATTAGGAAGACATATATTATTTGTTATATTTAACTAAAATACCTATACCTATTTATTTTTTTGTTTTGAAATGTTATGCTTGGTTATTCGATTATTCGATTATATTCGATTAATTCGATTATTCGATTATATTCGATTATTTATCTTTCGTTAAAAATAATCGATTAATCGAATAATCGATTAAAATAATCGATTAATAAAAATAATCGCACAGCCCTAGTTCGAAGATAAAGACTCATTACGCAACTCAGTAATGGCTGACATCAAATCAGCATTAGAAGGTGAGCATTGGTTACTAGGTATCATTTTAGGCGAAGTTGAATAAGTATTTTTATTGGCAGTACCCCGAGTAATACGGGTTAAGGACGATGAACTCATACTGTACACAAAAATAAAACTACTTCAGCACTCTGTAGACTAAGTGCAAATCATTAAGCACACTATGTATAACAGGTACCGGCGTACAGTCCAACTGGCAGCTACAGTAAATCGACTGAGGTGCAGATAAGAATAATTGTAAAAATGGTCATTGACAAGTCGTTAACGGATCGATAACAGTTTGGATATGCCGAAAGAACGGAAATAAAACTTACGCTTATACCGCGGCCGTGTAAAGTTAATGGAAGTTACTATAAAACTTAACTGAGATGAAGGTTTTGGGCAGACTGACTCAAAACCGACACCAGTCTGTACGTAAACTTTTGACACAACTTTTGTGACAAAAATTACCAAAAACAACGAACTATTTCCCGAGAAAGGACGTAAAAACTTGAGAGTTAAATACACGTTGGTTATTATCAGACTATGTATATTATACACTTATATTACAGTCGTTGCCAGATTAATTGAGACGGCGGCGGCGGCGCGATAACGGAAAACCAGTAGTTCTCCGTATTTTAATATTATTAACGAAAATACATCAATAAACCAACAATGGTTACAAAAATTATTGCGACTGAAGTGCGCCGTGCGGTCGATACACACCGGGTTCGAACTGGTGACTGCGCGCGTCGTAGCCAACTGTGTTACCTCTGCGCCACACTGTCAGCGACAAGTTTGGGCTACACTTCATGAAAAGCGCCGCCGCCGTCGTCTCAATTTATCTGGCAACGATTGTAATTATGTTATATAGGTCAATGGCGTATGTAGGAATTTTTCATGGTGGATTCTAGCTAATTTTTTTAATACAATTAAGTGGAAGATTCTACCCCCCCTATCTCTCTCCCAGCATAACACTTAAAAATAAATTCAATTTATTAAAATGCATTAACATAAAACCATTTTGATATTTGTACTTATTTATTTTCGAACATATAAAACATTTACAAAAAAAAAATCAAATTTTCTATGACTTAATGTCAATTCATTAATGATTTCATCAACATCTAGATGTATGTCTTAATGAATAGACATCATTGCTAGTCCATTTAGTCTTGTCTACATAATCATATATTTAATAATACAGTTATAAGTTTTATTATTATACATAAGATATTAAATATTTTCAAAATAATTAAAAGATTACTTCATTCATTTTTGATCTGAGACATGTTTTCAACCTTGTCAAAGTCGAAAAATATCTTTCAGGTGTTATTAACATTGGTAATGTGCTAAATAATTTAATTAAAAAATGTGTATTAGGAAAATCAGTTTTTGGGCTATTAAATACGCTTCTAATCCACTTTTGATGTTAACATCTTGACTGGTTATTTTCATTTTCCATATTTTTAATTAAAAAAAAAGCGTTATCTTTTTCAACTGGAAGTAAATTAAACTCAACCAAATTCTTAAATGATAGCCTTTCTACATCCGTAAATTTGGAGCTAAATAAACATTCAATCCCAATAAATTATTAAAATAAAAAATAAAATATAATATAAAAAATTATCATATAACCATATAGAAGTAACCGTAAAATGAATTTAAATATTTAGATATTATTTTGGACAAACGTTAATTGTGCCCAACGAAGGGAAACAATTGTAAATTACGTCCCGTATTTTTCAAGTATAAATTTTTGTGTATTAAATTGGGCTCGGTATTTTTCAGGTACAAATTTCTGTATAATAAATTGCGCCCAATAGAAATATTTTTATGATAATTATATTTGGTAGCATTACCCAGAGGACACCACGAGGAGGCGACTATAACTATCCTCCAAAAATGTTTTTTTTTTGGTTTACTTGAAATGAATAAATTAATTAATAAATTGGAAAATAAATATTTATTTTTTAATATTATGGTATTAATTATAGTTTTTTTATTTATTTTTTGTTAGGTTAAAAATGTTAATAATAAAAAATACAGTTATAAATTATCTGTGTAGTAATGAGACATCATCTTCACATATTCAGCCCTCGTAATAGTGTTTTCATTGTATTGTTGAATAATTTTTTCCATTTTTTGAATTTTTTTTTTTTTTTTTGATTTGGTGTTTTGAAATATAGGAATAAATGAAATGTATGAACGTATAAAGTTAGGTATTTAGGTATTAGGTTTTAGGTATTATAGATATTTATACTATTAATTTTTATATAAATTTTAGATTGTAACTCTAATATTTAATCCATAAAATTATAAATATGAGGTTACTTATTAGTAGATACCATGGGCGCAATTTACTATAGTATTTTTACTACCTATTTAATGTGGGTGCAATTTACAAGCGCTCATTATTTTGATATTTTATTATAAGGGAATTTGGGTACAAATCCTCCTCATTGCCAAAATCTCAGGTAATAAATAAATAAGTAATAATAAAAATATTTATTACCTAAATATATAATTCCTTCCCAATAAATAATCTTTACCTATGCCTTTGGGTACCTATGAATATTTTGATGCAAATCAGTTTTAAGTATTTGTTTCTGTTTTTAGTTATTATATTGATGACATCAAAATACTTAGAATTATATAATATCGGTATCTATATCACAGCTTCTAAAATTATGTTTATTACTAATAGCTATTGATTTTCTTTATTGATTTATTTATTTATGATTATTGATTATTCAAAAGTTTAATTAAAATATAATTCATAAAGAACCTATGGTTATTAACATGGTAGTCACTATATTCTATAACGTGGATTATAAAAATTAACTATAAAACTCAATAAAAAAATTCTATTGAAAATTATAGTTTCTTCAAATTATTGAAATTATAACGAAAAATAAATAACTAAGTATTATACTTGGCAACAACAATTACTGCCTTTCGTTAGAATAATTTATTGTTTGAATATATTTTTAATAACATTGTATTCTATATGAATATTTTAACATTAATATATTACATAATATCATATAGATTATTGTTTAAACGTGATTCTGATGAAACGATTCAACGGATGTCGGAGTCCACAACATATAATTCTCAAAATCTTCAATTATATTTTTTTGTGCCACTCTGTAATGTATAATAATAATGTGTGCTTTACGTATAAAATTATCCATGAATCGTTCCTTTAATAATTTCACGACATACGTATAAATATTGACATATTATATTAAATATAATGTGTCAATGTGTATACATTTTATGTAATATCATAGTCGGTTTCACGCAATACGATGACGTCGATAAAGTTATATTTTAATTCTTGTGTTATACAGGTATCACCGACATCTGACCAATTGTCGATAGGTTTCGCGAAAAGTATAAATCACATTGATCTTAATTCGTTATTTTACGTAACGACAACTGAATGTTATATAAGCAAAACATGCCTACGCAATAAATAGCAATGGTCGAAGTAACTTGGGATGAGATCAAGGGTGAGTATGAATCATTTTTTTAAAAATTTATTTTGTTAGGTAAATGTGAATTAATTAAATAGAAATATTTACAAAAGATAAATAAATTATGAAACCTCGTATTTGTTAATTTTTAAACGAATTAAATATACACCGATATAATTAAATTGAAATATTTTGAAATAACATTTTCCAAGGAGTAAATAAAAAATTTAATGGGAGGAAATGTAAAAGTAGATGGCTATAACTTATATCTTTATATTCTTCTCTGTTATGTTTCGATTGATTCATTGATAATGAAACTTCCTAATATATTTTGGTAAACGTTTCGCTATCGAAACTATGTGAAATTAACTCGATACTGTTACAATGTAGCAAATAGTTATTTCTAAAAATAAGATTCTGGGTTGGTCTCGATTTCTAATTTCCATCGGAGTAGGAATATAGAAAAATTGTATAGAAATAGAATGTATGATTTATAAAAAAAAAAGGATATCTAGATAGTGAATTGCCCACAAAAAAGTAAAAAAAAAAGAAAAAAAGATTACCGGCCAATAAGTTACAAATTAACCCCCATGAAATCAGTGCATTTGAAATACGTAGTAATAAAACTATTTAACTCTTTTCAAAAAAAAAAAAGTCTAGACAAGTCCCTGAATAATACTAATATTCATACAATCGTATTTCTTACATAAGTTATGTGCATAGTTGTTCTTCGCAAAAAAATATCAAATATTCCTTCTTTGAATCATTTGTTTTTCAACTTAAATACTTTATTGCCGAATAAAAATACTTACATCTATAGGTAAAATATATTTTGAAAACCAAAAACGTAATTTATACATTATACAGTGAATATACTTTTATTTTTGAACGTTTCTATAAGAGTAAGATATTAGTTTTTTAACAAGGTTAACATGTTAAATTTGATAGTTAATCATTACATTGCATTGATTATTCATTCAGTTAGTTTTGTACAGACTACAGATTTATAATAAATTTAAGACAAAAGTTATATATTTTACATGTTTCAATAAATCTAATACGAACAATGATTAATGCTACAATCTGTTATCTAACGATAAAAATTTTTTTATTTGCATTAAAAATTAATTTAAACTAGCTTTTGAAAGTTTTATATCCAAAACGTAGAATTTATGAAAAATAATCGGATACTGCGGTAGTTTTAAATTATATTCATAAAACGTTATTTAAATGACTTCTTAAGACTAAATAAAATACTACAAATTAAACTTATTTAAAATTGAATTGGCTTTTACAAAACAACAGAGTATTATTAAATTATAAGCTACAATAATTGTCAATTATACATTACAGAATAAATTATAGGTATGTTTTGAATAACAACTTTTTTGGTCAATTATTAGCTAAAAACTTAAATATAGGTACACGAGGGATAATACTGTGAAATTTTATTTTAAAAATTAATGGTAATATAAAAGACAATTTTTTAATTCAAAATTAAATTGGGTTGTATTGTTTTTTCCAAACAATACTTTTTAATAATATTCCACACCGTAGGTTATTTTATGCTATAATAATCCTTATATATAAAAGAACAGAACTTTTTATGTCTCAATTTTGTGACAATACTATTTAACATTTTTCCAATTTTTTTTTACAGTTCCAAATACCTTCCTGAGTGTCATCACATTATTCAATTTTTAATTATTTTTTTATGGAGGGAATGGAGGGGGTTGGATAAATGTTAAATTATATTATCATAGAATTGAAACATAAAAAAGGCCTGTTATTTTATATATATATATAAGTATAAAGATTATAGAATCATTTTTAATAATATGTGTATAGAATCATTTGTAAATATTATTATTATTTTTTATAATTCAGCTACTACTACTTTTTAGCACTTATTTTTTCATAATTTTTTTTCTTTAAAATACAACGTGTGTTTATTTAAGTATTTCATTTAGAGAAAACAAAAACTACACACGGGTGAAGCCGAGTAATTAATCTAGTTATATATATTTCACTAGTATTTCTCAAAAGACACATCATGCTAAATTGAATACTAAGTATAGCATAATTGTTAAACGGAGCAACCCAATTTAATATAATTTTTTTTTAATTTGTATATTTTATTGAACTTCCTATAATATTTAATTCATCATAATTTATCTCTCTAAAATTATCTTTGGTAACAATTCTATATTTTTAGTTAATCATCTATCAGTACAAAGCATCAATTAGTTATATAAAAATGGTTATATATTATTTCGTATTTACTTTAAGATAACTATATAATATTCACCCAAAATTGAGTATTCTCATTTTTACTCAAAACTAATAAATGTATTAACGTACATATTGTATATTCTGTCTTTTAACGATGGATAAATATTTATATTTTTTAATATAGAATAGAGAATGAGTTTTGACTTATAAATATTATTAATATTTAGAAGGGCGGATAAGTTATTGGTTTAATAATGTTTTATTTTCTCAAAAGACGATTTTTAGTACAGGAAGTTTTCAAAAAGTTCCAAATAGTCCTTTATCGATCGGAAATTAGATACACAGATGATGCTTCGAGTTTATCAAAGCTGCAAAATTCTCAGTAGTTTCTAAATCTACCATAAGCTAAAATAAGGCGAAGTTATTTTCTGTATATAATATTATTAAATTCACAGTTTGAAAACATTTTTTAACGAAGTACCGATAAGTTCTTCGATGCTGATGCTTTATTTTTTAATTTCTAAAAATTGAATATTTTAATTTTAACAATAATAAATAATAGTGCTTATTGTAAATTGTACACATACTCATAATACTAGATGATTTTAAAATTAACATTTATCATTTACACCAACAACTATATACAGTGGTATCCGGCCAACATAGCGAAACAATAACGGCGAATATAAAAATCGCGAATTAATTATAGCGAAAATAAAAACAGCGAATTTTTAAATAAGCGATCATGCATAATAGCGAAACTTAAATTTAAATTACATATATTCAATCATTTTCAATTCATTATTTATCAAGATAACTTACTGACATCATAAATTGGAACATATAAATTTCTTTCTATTTTTACCAGCGTTATCTGATGCAATTGACTTTGACCACGGATGTATCAAGTCGTCGTCAATGTACTATCTTAATTACTATGTAACTTAGATATTATATATATGTTGGAAATTTAGATAAAAGTGTCAATCATATTATATTTGAGTTGACACAAGTTAATACAGTTGTAGTTCAGTGCGTCAGTGTGTAGATTGTATTATTTATTATTTTTGTTCGTTAGAAAAATACAGTGTAAAAAAAAAAAAACATATTTATTATTATTTTCAATGGAATTTGTAAAAAGTAATAAAATTAAAGATTTATTATTGTATAGTGGATTCTTGCATCGTGAAGATAGAAAACAAAATAACACAATATATTGGTGTTGCGTAGAAAGTTCATATAAAGGTAAAATAATTACGATTAACGGAAAAATTAAAAGTCAACCTAAGGAAAACTCTCATAATCATGTTCCCGATCCGTGTAAAATTCAATGCAAAATGGCTATGAATAAGATTAAAGAAGCGGTTGTTCACACACAAATTACTCCACATGATATAATCAGTGCTGTACAAATAGTACCTAGAGTAGCCGGTGCAATTCCTTCAGTTCATCATTTGAAACACACTATACGTATCGTTCGAATACGTAATCAATGTGCACCGCCTATTCCGAAAACAGTCAGTGACTTAAAAAATTTCTGATGAGTATACTAAAACGATAAAAGGAGAACAATTTTTAATATTTGACAGTGGAGCATCACAGGATCGAATTTTATTATTTTTGACCGAAAATAATTTAAAATTGATGGATCGATCAACTAATTGGTTGGTAAACGGAACTTTTAAAACGGTACCTTCACTTTTTTATCAGTTATTCACTATTCATGTACTTATTCAACAGGGTGACCAAACAGTTAGTCCTACCATTTATGCATTATTAACCGATAAATCTTAATTAATATATACACGTTTTCTTAAATATTTATTAGAAATAAAACCATCTTTAAATCCTACATCGGTAATAATACGAGATCGTAGATTTTGAACATGCCTCAATAAATGCATTCAAAACCGTTTTTCCACATGCTGAACAACAAGGTTGTTTTTTTTCATTTTTCTAAATGTATGTGGCGACTAATTCAAAATGTTGGTCTAGTCGAAAATTATGTTAATAATCCTAACTTTGGTCTTCATATTCGTATGCTAGCTGCTTTAGCCTATGTTCCTGATAACGTTACTAACATTTATGAAGAAATTTTAGAAACACAATTTTATGTTGACAATGAAGACCTGTTAATTCCATTCTTGGATTATTTTGAGGAAAACTGGGTAGGAAAAATAATAGAAAGACGAAAAATTCGACGCCAACCAAGATATCAAATTGATATTTGGAATTGTCACTATTCTGTCAAAAATGGTCTTCCAACAACAAACAATGCTGTAGAAGGATGGCACAGGGGATTTGCATCTATTATTGGTTCATATTATTTTATTAATAATTATTATCTTTAATTATATAATACAGTTCGTGTCTAGACGTCGTTGAGTCAACACGTTAATTTACACGCATCGTTTTTATGGCTCTCGATAGCATTACAGTCAAGCTACCCTGCACCGCTTAATTGGTATGTATTATAATATAATCTTATCGTATAAAGTCCACTAACTCCGGTCGCCATACCGGCGAAGGCCCCAAGGTCACCTACTATCGCAGTCGTTGGGGACTGCTATATTAATACCTGTGCTCATTATGACTACCACCGGCAAGTCATTACCTAAGAAAACAATCCCACCTTTAAAATTAACAAATGCGAAAAAAGCTTCTACAAGTGATACACCGCTATCTGATTCCGATTCTGACTTATGGCAAACAGTTGAATCAAACAACAAACGTAACAGATCTCCTAATGAAATCTCACCTACCTCAAAAAAAAACCGATCCAAATATATTCATATCACCAAATCGATTTTCCCCGATTGCATTCATTATTGAAGACGACGCAATGGACAACACAACTGAGCAAATTTCGGGAAAAACCAATCAAACTTCTAAGCCACCTCCTATCTTTATACAAGCGCAATTAAATTTCAACAATTTCTGCATTAAAATAAAAGAATTAACTGACTCCTCTGGATTCGATTGTAAAAGTTCTACAAAAGATCTTAAATTACAAACATATAGTTCTGACTCGTATAGAACAGTGATCAAATATCTTAAGGAAATTAACGTTTCTTTTCACTCGTTTCAATCAAAATAATTAAAACTTTATCGTGCAGTAATTAGAAACTTACATCCTACTACCGATATCTCCGCTATTAAAAATGAACTATTATTAAACGGATTCTACACCAGAAATATAATGCCTGTTACTCATAAGCTAACTAAGACTCCCATACCAATCTTCTTTGTTGATCTAGAACCAGGACCAACCAACTCCGACATTTTTAAAATCACAACACTATGTTACACGAAAGTCAAAATTGAACCTGCTCACCCAAAAAAAAGATCTTCCACAATGCCATCGTTGCCAGACATACGGTCACACCCGCAAATATTGCAATCACGCTCCTCGTTGTGTTAAATGTGGCTTAGAACATGAATCAATAGATTGCACTAAGGACCGGAGCACCCCTGCTAATTGTGCATTATGCAACGGTAGTCACCCGGCTAACTATAAAGGGTGCCAAACTCACATTGACTTGAAAAAAAAATTAGCACAATCTAAAAACAACACCAGGAACAATAACCAACAAACCTATATATAAAAACATACTCAACTTCCAATTCGGCTTTCGCACAAACCACTCCACAATCCACCAGTTACACCGGGCCACGGACACAATCTCAACTGCCTTAGAAACCAAAAAATACTGTGCCGGACTATTTTTGGATGTAGCCAAAGCGTTCGACACTGTCTGGCATGATGGACTACTTTTCAAATTAAAAACTCTTTTTCCTGCCCCCTACTACCTAATATTAAAATCATATTTAGACAACCGCACATTCAAGGTCCGCCACAACCTCGAACACTCGAAACAATTTCCTATTGCGGCTGGGGTCCTTCAAGGCAGCGACATTGCTCCTTTTCTATACACTATCTACACATCAGATCTGCCCACATCTGAAAATACTATCCTCGGAACCTATGCAGACGATACCGCTATTTTGGCCTAGATCCATATACAGTATGTAAATTAATTGGAAAGTCAGTAATTATTACTCCTAATATAATACAGATATTGAAGTTCCATTTTTTTTAACATAATATGTGACTTATAGCTTTATATATAGACTGATAGCCTATATTTAACCATGGAAAAAAAAATACCAAATTCAAAACCGCCAAATTTTTTTTTGGAAAAATTTAAAAAACAGCCACTTTGTAGAATTACTTACAAGTCACTCTGAGAAAAAAATATTATGAAATCGGTTGAACTTTGAATGAATGAAAGCAGTTTATATTTTCAAAAACCACAGCAAATTGTAAAATTGTATGGTTTTAAACTTTTAAATAGATAACTAATAATATGATATTAGGTAATGAAGTAAACACAACTCATTAATATTTTTTGTAATATTTTTGCTTTTTGCTGATTATTTTTGAGCTCTCATTCATTTAAAATTCAACCGATTTCAAAATTTTTTTTTATTATCTGAGTAACTTATAAGTAATTCTACAAAGTGACTATTTAAATTTTTTAAAATTTTTTTTGGCGGTTTTGAATTCTGGATTTTTTTCACCATGGTAAAAGATGGGCTATAAGTTACATATTATGTAAAAAAAAACGGAACTTCAATATCTGCATTATATTATGAGTAATAACTACTAAATTTTCAATTAATTTACATACTGTATACTATATAATTATTTTTGAATTAAAGTTTAGTATATATAGTAACGTATTTGTAAAGCACATATTTTTTTTACTTTTTTGTCTTTAGATCGTATAAGTTGAGATTTAACTGTATTTAATAAATCGTTCAGTATTTGCAGAAATGCTTATTTATTTTTTTATAAAATAGTTTTCTTTGCAATTATAAGTATTAATCATAAAATATCTTGTCTCTTCGTTATTTTCAAATATGATAATTTGATTGTTGAAAATATTTTATGTCAATTAATACGTCAATTTTTTTATCCAGTTATACAATGTAATCACTATATACATCTTACATACATAATAATATTATACATACAAAAATTTGAGTGCATTGATTGGAAGATGTTAGTTAAATTTAAAACCAATGTACCCAGCTTATCTGGATAGTATCTTGGATACTAGTATTTAAGATACGTATCTGAAATACAATTATATCTTTTATTTTGTATTTAGATACTTTTTTGATATGTATCTAGTATCATTTTATAATTAGAGATATTAAATATATTAAAAAATTATGTTATAATTTAATAACTCAAATTAAAGATTAATTCGCGATGTTATACTTATAATAATATGAGGTAATTTATCATTATTTGTCGGCATTCACTAGATAAATGAACAACTTAAATTATTTAGACCAATTGTTCTTGATAATACTTATAATGGAATACAAACGATGAGATGTTGCCACCTCGCCATTTGAAATGTGCCAGTCATACTTCAAACTTATCCTTAAAGCTATTAAAGATGTACCAGTTCATAGATAACATTTAGAAGGCATTGAAAAGTGCAATAATTTGTGGAACATATCGAGACATCCAAAATTTACTGAAATTATAAAAAGTACGAGGTATATTAGGTTAGTACATTAGATTCGTATATTAAGTTGTTCTTTAAATTATCCTTGTCCGTCAAGAAGGAATTCATTATTTGATTCGATTAATGAAACTTTTATTTATAAAACAAAACTATATACTGTTTTCGAATATTAAAATACTAATAAAAATATTAAAATTAAAATACATTTTTAAATATTTATGTATAGAGTATTTAGAAGAGTTTGTAATTTTAAAGCCAATTTCATGTGCTTTAGATTATTTGAAAGGCCAAGTTAATTATAAATACGGTGTATTGATAGTATACACCAAATTTTTTATCATATTTAAGGGTAAGTAATACACAATAACTGAAAATATAATTTTGTAAGTGATTACTTATTATTATTAAAGTGATCAAAATTATAGTTTTTTCTTTCTTTCTTGGCTTTTACAGGCCTTTAAAGCCCATCGCCACAACAACATATTGTTTCCATTCTTCTCTATCGTTTGCACGTTCTTCTGCGTTTCTTACGTTCAGGAGTTTCAGGTCTTCTTGTACTCTACCCACCCAACTTTGTCTGGGGCGTCCTGGAGGCCTCTTAGTGTCGGGTTTCCAATTAGTTATTGATCCAATTATTCCCTCTGACCTCCACACATGTCCCGCCCAACTTATCCTCGTGCTCTTCAGGGACCCAACGATGTTAGGTTCCTTGTATAGACCATCCAAATCCCTGTTGTCTCTCACCTCATACTCTCCATCTTCATTTCTCTTTGGGTCGAAGATTTTCCTTAACATCTTTCTTTCAAACACTTCTAACTTTCCTTCGTCCGATTTTGTCATGGCCCGTGTACTACATGCATACAGAGCAACCGGTTTGACTGTGACTTTGTATAACGTTATTATTTCCATGTTTCACTTATATTTGGTTTTCCTTGTATATTCTGTAATTTTGACATTCTTGATATACTTTAGTTGTTGATGTTTTCAGTGCATCTCTATTTACCGATTGTGTTTCTGTTTCTTTCTCCACTCTGTTGATATTCTGATATTTATTTTTGCTTTTACGAGGAATTAATCCGACATAGCACTTCTCCCTCTCATGCTTCTTAAATCCTTTATATAGGACTTAATACGTAAATCAATTATTATGTGGTCTATTTGGTTTCTTACATATCTATATGGCAAAAACTATGTTTGTTTATGAATATTCTTGTGCGGAAAACATGTGGAACTTATAGTCATATTCTTTGCAGCTGCAAATGAGATCAATTTATAACCATTGTCATTAGATTCTACATATAAGCTTTCAGATCCAATTGTTGGTTTATATATCATTTCCTTTCCAATTTTTGCATTAAAATCTCTGATAACTATTTTCGGTTTATCAGCTGGTAAAGAGTTGTATAGCATGTCTAAACTGTCATAGAACTCATTTTTTATCTCCTCATTTTTATCTTCAGTGGATGAATAACAGTTAATTATGATCAAATTGTGCCACTTACATTTAAGTTCTATGTAACATAGACGGTAATTTATAGGTTTGAAATTTGTAATTTGTGGTAGTTAATTTTCTATAATTATAAATCCTACACCTCGTTCATGTTTGTCCCCACCGCTGTAAAGTAGATTCATTCCTTGAGATTTCAAGCTCCCTGAACTTGTCCATTTCACTTTTTGAATAGCAGTTATATCCATCTCGTATCGCTCAAAACACAATAGAGATGTCATCAAAGCTTCAGTTCTAAGCAAATATCGCATAATATATTATAAATTTTCTACACTTATAATATATTTCTATGGTTTTGTGTAAGTTTGTAAAAATATCATAAGAAATGTAATCTAACCTCACACAGAATTCATAGAGTTATAAATACATAATATAATTAATAATAAATGTATAATTGATTACAATTATTTGGTGATAACATTTTAAAAAATATACAGGTATTTTTAAAGCAATGAGAAATGAAGATTATTTATAATTTTTAAAATATTCTTACGTTATAAAATTGTTTTAGGATTAGTTTGGAAATATTTTTATTAAAGTAATGATGATTTATCATCAGGTAAATATTGTGAGCCAAAAATAATGAATAGGTAATATTTTTCAATAGAAATAGGTCACCATTGTAATTCACCACAATAAAAAAAAAGTATCCTAAATAATAATTGAAAAATTAAATAATCATTACATTTATACGTTTAATTTATATACTTATAATTGTTTATTGTTGTATAAAATTTAACATTTTTGTATATCATTAATATAGTATCAATAGCACATTTTAAATGTTAAGTATATAAAATCCTGAATACCAATATTAAAATACGGAAAAAGATTTATAAGTATATAGTTAAATGTATGATTGAGATATTGGAGGAAGGAATTAAAGAATAAAAAAAGTCTAAAATATTTATATTTTAACATAAAGTATGCAGTATGAAATAATTAAAATTTTAACCTCTGCTTAAGACCTTAGGTAAATTAACTAATTGTAATTACTAGGAATTCATTTTATTTCTCATCTCATAATCTTCTAAATGGTGGTTAAACATTAAATCTCTGGACTTCAGCTGAGAGGAAACTTTTCACTGATATTAAGAAGACAATCGTCTATACCTTACTTTTGATTAAAGAATTTAATATTAATTTTAATCGGTGGCCCTTTCATTTACCTCAAAAATATGACCTAATACCGCACAAAATCCATAACTCAATACCACATAAAAAATAGCACGATACCGCACAAATATATAAAATATAAAAATAGTAATAAAAATATCTTCTTCTTCTTCTTAGGCGTTTACAGGCCATTCAGGCCCATTGCCGCAACAACCACTTGCCTCCACTTGTCTCGGTCTCTTTCCAGCTCTTCCCCATCCTCTATTCCAAGTTCCCTCAAGTCCTTGACCACTCTATCCTTCCATCTTTGTCGAGGACGTCCTCTAGGCCTTTTTGTATTTGGCTTCCATTTCGTAGCCTGTCCAATTGGCCCCTCCGATCTTCACACGTGCCCGGCCCAGCTCAGCCTACTACTTTTTAAAATTCTGTTAATATTCGGTTCTCCGTACAGGTCTTGGATCTCCTGATTTGTTCTTTGTATTCTCCTTCGTTATTTTTTTTTGGACCATAGATTCTCCTTAATATCTTCCGCTCGAAGGTGGCCAATTTTAGTTCATCCGATTTTGTAGTGGCCCACGTCCCACATGCATACAAAGCTATAGGTCTTACTAGTACTTTATAAAGGGTTATTTTTGTCTTCCATGATAATATCTTTGATTTAAATAGAGGGACCAATCCAAAATAACATCTGTTTGCCGCTGCTAATCTAATCTTTATTTCCTCGTGGCTATTTGCATCCTTGTTGATGTCCACTCCTAGGTATTTAAAATCATCTACTTTTTCGAACTTATATTCCCCAATATCCAGGTGTCCCCCTCTATGGTTATTCCTAGTTACTACCATATATTTTGTCTTATCCTCATTTATAATTAATCCTATTTTCTTTCCGATTTCCAGTAAATTTCGTGTTGTCTCCTTTAGATTTTCTTCATTTTCTGCCATTATCACTAAATTATCTGCATAGGCAGCTAGAATTAGTTGTTTGTCAATTCCAATTTTAATTCCACTTGCAGTTACAAGGGTATCTCTTACGACTGATTCCAATGCTAAGTTGAAAAGAGCTGGGGACAAGGCGTTACCTTGTCTAAGCCCTGTCACCACCTCAAAATCCTCCGATACGGCATCTCCGAACTTCACTTTACACTTTGATCCTTGTACACAAGCACGGACTAGTCTTAAAAACTTTTCAGGTATACCCAATTGGTACATAGCGCTCCATAGTTTCTCTCTATTCACCATATCATATGCGGCCTTAAAATCAATAAAAAGGAGGTGTATATCTTTGTCAAATTCATGGCTTTTTTCGATCATTTGCTTAATAACATGTATTTGATCCTGGGTTGACTTCCCTGTCATAAACCCTCCCTGGTAATCTCCAATAATTTCTCGTAAATAGGGTTTGATTCTAGTAAGTAGAATATTAGACAGTATCTTATATGATGTGTTCAAAAGGGAGATTCCCCTATAAATTTTGCAATTCATGGGGTCTCCCTTTTTAAGAATAGGACATAAAACAGATGTACGCCACGGTCTTGGTATTTCTTCATGTTCTCAAACTTTAGTAATTAAGTTATGTAGCTGGTTTATTAGTAGTTGTCCTCCCTTTTTAAGGCATTCAGAAATTATCTCATCTTCTCCCGCTGCCTTACCGTTTTTGAGCATTTCAATACCAGCTTCTACCTCTGCTCTTGATGGTGGTTCTATGTTTTGTTCTACTGTTGCACGTTCTTCTATAATTGTCCTTTCACTAGGTTGGTTTAAAAGTGTGTTAAACATTTTTTTTGAACTCATCTGCTATTTTTCCGTTATCGGTCAATAACGTTCCATTTTCTCCTCTAACCATTGATGTTTTACGTTTAAACCCATGTTTAACTTCATTCGCTTTCCCAAAGAAGACTCGAGCATTATTCTTTCTACTACTTTCTATGAGTTGTACTCTTTCTTTTTCCCATGCTCTCTTGTTCATCCTAATTGTCTTCTTTACCTCTCTCTGTTTCATGGCTAATTCTCTTTTATTTTCTTCTTTTGGGTCCTGTAGCACTTTTAATCTCGCTTTATCCCTTTCTTCCGTGGTCTTTCTACACATTTCATTGAACCAGTGCTTGTTCCTTCTCTGTGGTTCGTAACCCAAAACTTCTTCTGAGGTTCTTTTAACCGCTTTTTCTATTCTTCCCCATAATTCTTCTATATTTGCTTCATGTTCAGCGCTTGAAAGGTATTTGTTCAATTTTCCCTGATATTCCTTTGCTTGGTTTCTATTTAGTAGCTCTCTATTAATTTTTTTGATGCTCTGTTTCTTCTGCCAATTCACTGAAATTTTTAGTTTGTACCTTGCCTTTACCAGGAAGTGATCCGATATCGCACTACAACCCTTCATACTTCTTACATCTTCAACGCTTGATCTTATTCTCCTGTCAACAACTATGTGATCTATTTGGTTTTTTATCCTTCCACAGGGTGATATCCAGGTCTGTTTATGGATGTTCTTGTGCGGAAACATTGTACTGCTTATGACCATGTTTCTTGCTGCTGCAAATGAGATCAATTTGTTTCCATTTTCATTGGACTCACTATGCAAACTGTTTATTCCAATAGTTGGTCTGTATATCCTTTCTCTTCCGACTTTCGCATTGAAGTCACCAATGATAATTTTTGGCTTCCCCGAAGATAGCCCATCACAAACTCTGTCTAGCTCATCGTAAAAAGCATTCTTTACATCTTCGCTTTTATCCTCTGTTGGCGCATAACAATTTACAATTACTATGTTAAACCATTTGCATTTAAATTCTATATAGCAGATTCTATCACTTATTGTTCAAACTTGACAACATTCGGCAAAAATTTGTCCTTAATAATAAAGCCTACTCCTCTTTCGTGTTTTTCTCCACTGCTATATAAAATTGTATTTCCTTGTGACTTTATACTACCAGATCCGTCCCACCTTATTTCTTGAACTGCTGTTATATCCAGTCTGTATCGCTCAAGACACGATACGACTGTCGTCAATGTTCCCGTCCTATACGTTGATTGCACATTCCAAGTTCCAATACATAAATCCGTAATCTCCACGTTCCGAGGCAATATTAATCGTTGTTTCGTAATCATATTGTTTTGCGTGTAAGGTGATTGGCCTTACGACAACCTCCTCTTGGAGGGTCTGATTACTCCAACCAATTAAGGTCAGAGTAAGGGTGGAATGAACCAACTAACTAAAGTAAGTTCAATCCACAGCTCGGGGCCCCGGGTTCGCCACACCCGTAGTGTTAATTGCTTAACACCCCCCTGAGGAGGTGTTTTACAATAAAAATGTAATAATTTAAATATGAATATTGTAATTACTTATATGGGTTCAAAATATGTAAAGAACTCAACGCTGTGTGCTTTTTTGTTGAAATTCCTTAGCTAGTTTTATTATACATCTAATAAACAAATAATTTACAAGAAAAAAATGTATTTTACATAAAAATAAATACATATATTTATAATTTTATATCAGATAATTAGATCTAGAAATATATACCAATATACTGATCAGTTCTAATATCCACGAGATGGTGTGTGCGATTGTCCCGTGATACAAGACTGGTATATGGCTGGTTGCGGTATGTTGTTAATGTACTGCTGTCGTTTGGCACGGACGGCTAAATAGTGATCGGCATAGACGGCAAATAAGAGTACGTACGGTGGGTAGTCGGTGGACGGCGTGGTATGCTACAGTCGTTATTCCATGTTATGCACCAACATCTATTCAACTCCAGAATATGGTGCCAGAAGCGGATGTTGATACAAAATGTTTTACCGGGTGAAAGCAGTGACCAATGAGTTGTTTCCATGGTAATCGGAAGACGATGCTGATGCTGAACGGTGTACAGCGGCGCTCTTTCTGTATGTTCGTGTTATCCGTACCGATGCAGCACCGCTGTTCATTGAGCATGCTTTTACTTATTTATCTGGTTTACCTTATGATTTCGTGTACAATGGTTGGTGTGTGATGTTATTTGATTTGAACGTTAAGTCTAAGGGACTTAACGTTTGACGGATACGTTTTTGAGACGTCCGTAAACTTGGTGTTCGGTGGCTGTTGTGATGGCTTGGTCCGATTGCGCCATCTTTCGGTAATTCGGATAGCGTTGTGTGCAGCGTTGGTCCGTGTTGACCTTTGTACGGCGATCGCCTTAGTTGGTCGGCGTCGTTGAAACTGGTGTCAGTTATTATTATTATTATTATAATTATTATTATAATTACCTAGATGTCGGTAGTGGTGTGACCTTTACAAATTTAAACCTGATTTTCTTTATTCTTCTTCTTCTTCGAGTGCCACATTCGTTAACGAACGTTGGCAATCATGTTAGTAATTTTATCTTTATTAATGGCTGTTCTGAATAAAGATATTGTTGATGTATTGAACTATTTTCGGAGGTTGTCCAACCAAGAAATTTGAGGTCTTCCACGGCTCCTTTTTTCTACTATTTTACCCTGAATTATTAATTGTAGTAAATTATATTTTTCTGGATGACGCATAACATGTCCTAGATACTGAAGTTTTCGTGATTTTATTGTTTTCACTATTTCAAGTTCTTTATTCATTCTTTCTAGTAAATTGATATTTGTTATGTAATCGCACCAACTAATTTTTAATATTCGGCGGTATATCCACATCTCAAATGCTTGAATTCGATTAATCGAAACTTTTGATAGAGTTTAAGTCTCTACTCCATAAAGAAGTACGGTGAATACATAGCAACGAATCATTCTAATTCGGAGATTCATGCTTAGTTGATGACTACAGAAAATATTTTTCATTTTCACAAAAACTGCTCTGGCCTTTTCCATACGACATTTTATTTCGTGAGAATGATCCTAGTTATCTATTAATGACTGTCCAAGATAAGTTAGTTTTTTTTACTTTTTCTAAGGGGACATTTTTGAGTCTGAGGACATTTGTCGGATTTTGTTCTTTATCAATTACCATGTATTTGGTTTTTTCGGGCATTTAAATTTAGGCCTAAGTTTTCTCTAGCTGTAGTAACTTTATTTAGTATTTTTTGTAGGTCTTCTATGCTGCCAGCTATCAGTACAGTGTCATCTGCATATCTCAGGTTGTTAATAACCTTCCCATTTATGTTAATACCTTCTTCCGTATCTTCCAATGCTTCTGACATAATTTCTTCTGCATATAGATTGAAAAGTATTGGCGAAAGGATACATCCTTGTCGAACTCCTCTCCTAATTCTGAAGTTATTAGAGAGTGTATTGATTATTCTGATTTTAGCTTGTTGATGCCAATACAAGTTTGTTATGAATTGTAGGTCTTTTCCATCTATACCAATTTTTCGTAGAACTTCAATCAGTTTTTCATGCCTCACTTTCTCAAATGCTTTCTCGAAATCGATAAAGCACAAATATACTTTTTGGTTGATATCACGGCATCGTTGAATAAGTATTTGTATGCTAAATAAAGCTTCTCTAGTTCCAAGTCCATTACGGAACCCAAATGTTCTTGACTCATATTTTTCTCCGCTTTTTTGTAAATTCTGGCATGAATAACTTTCAAGAATATTTTTAGTGTGTGGCTCATACGGCTGATTGTTCTATATTCATTGCATTTCTTTGCGTTTGGCTTTTTAGGTATTGCTACAAATGTGGATTGTAGCCAGTCATTTGGTATATGACCAGTGTCGTATATAGTATTAAATAGTTCTATTAAACGTGTGATGCAAGTGGAATTGGTCAAAGTCTTAAGTAATTCTGTTGGTAGTTCATTAGGACCTTTTCTGTTTTTTGATTTATTTATGGCATTTTTCTTTATATTCTTCTATAATCTGTTAATAAAATCGAGTAATAATATACCAAATTGGCTTCTCGTTTTCGATTGCATTTTCGCTGCATTGCTTCAGTTCTCTTCTAAACAAGGGCGTATTTGAGAGAGGCTAAGGAGGCATTCGCCCCCCTCCCATTACTCGTATTTTTTTGAATATAATACATTGATTTATTTAAAAAATTTTATGTATAAATAATTAAGAATATAAATTACTATGATAGACTTATCATTATAATATGTTGTTATTATAACAGAAACGAGAACTTTAGGTAATGAACTGTAAATTATTTTTAAGTTTGTATAAAAGAAAAATTAGTTTTTCCCTCCCCCTCCCTATGGCCACAACTCAAATCCTTGCTTCTAAATTTCTCGCATTTTCGCTTCATTAATCACTTATTGATCTATTAAAACATCAATTTAAAGAATATAAAGTAATTAGAATTAATATTTTAAGTATTTTAAAAATAGTTTTCATACTGTACATACATAAAATTCAAATTTAAGTAGACTGTGATAAAATTCAGCACCGTTTGTCGTTTTTTTTTGTAATATTAGGATATTATTGAAAGAGAAAATTTTTCTATATCAATATAATTTTTAAGCACATAATTAGCAAATTCTAAGCATTTTGTATGCTTTATTTAATTATTTTATTTAATCTATTCATTAATGATATTAAATTTTCTGAATCTCGTATGTTATTATATGCCGACGACCTAAAACTATTTCGTATCATTAAAAATTCAAATGACTCTGAGTTATTACAAAATGATTTGAATTACCTATATAATTGGTGTGACTTTAATAATTTATACTTAAATGTCTCTAAATGTAAAGTAATGACCTTCTCTAAAAAAACGCACTCCATACTTACATAACTATCACTTTAATAATTCTAAATTCATCCGCGTCTACCAAAATAAAGACCTAGGTGTACTGTTCGACACGTCATTAACATTTAATTCCCACTATATTAGTATCCAGAATAAAGCTTCCTCCTTTCTAGGTTTTATTAATCGTAGTTGCCAGGACTTTAAAAATCCAACTGCATTGAAAGCGTTATATTGCTCACATGTACGATCAGTACTAGATTATAACTCAATAATTTGGTCATCTAGCACGTTAGGTCCAAAACAAATACTTGAATCGATTCAAAATCGTTTTTTAAGAATAATATCCTTCAGATGTGAAATTTTCCGCCAGCCTCACTCTTCTTATCAGCCATTGTTAACTTTCTTAAATCTCGAACCACTGGAAATTCGAAGGAAAAAGTTTGATCTCTCCTTTGTTTTTAAATTATTAAATGGACAAATAAACTGCCCAATTTTATTATCTAAATTAGATTTTTCAGTTCCAAGTCGCAACACTAGACAGTCAAGCACTTTTTATGTTCCATTTCAGTTCACGAATTATGGTTTAAATACTCCTATTATTAGATGCATGCAATTAGTTAATAAGTATAATGTTGATATATTTTCATATGTAACTGTAAATACTTTTAATTTGTATCTAAATAGCATAATTTTCTAATTCATAACAAACTGTATTTTACCTATGTTTCTTGTATCTGGGCAACTGCCCGTATAAATAAATAAATAAATAAATAAATAAATAAATATTTGTTTTTCAAAGTTGTATGCATATAACTGTTAAAAAATAATAAAACTATAGTTGCTCGTCACTCTTAAAAAAGATTAGTGAAACACTAGTTGTTGCTCATACATTTTAATATTAATGCGTTATTCTAGTTATTATTTAAATATTATTATTAGACATAATAAACGAATATTTTATGTGCTTTATGATTATTTTATTATATTTATTTCAATACTTGTGGGATATCTTGTTGATAATTATTATAAATAAAAATCTTGCATACATATTTATAAATTATACACACTTATAATTATGGCATTCTAAAAAGTGGATTTACAATAAAGATGGTAATTTTTATAAGTGTAATGTTTCAAGCTTAATTTATTAAAGTAGTTTATTCTTAATATTTCGAATTTTACTTAGTATCACTGAACTCAAGAATTTCAGGTTTTTTTTTCTTTTGGTAATAGATAATTTACTCCCGACAAATTTATATTGATTTTAAGACGAAATGAGTAATACTTTTAGAATTCGTAGAAAATTTCTTGAGTCGCCCCATACCATATTATGTACACGGTTGACTGATCGGAAATAATAACTATTAGGTGTACGGTATAGTGGTAGGTATACATATCAGATAACTAATATATTTTAACGAATACAATATACTTATATACCATACCACTAAAATGGCCCTTATGTAAATTTTGATATATTCTCAAAATAAACTATTGTATTATTGTATTATATAAGTTACATTATAATGAAAATATATTTCTAATGTAGTTAATATAGAAATTCCTCGTAAAGATTGATATTCGAAAACGTTCATACGATAAAAAAAAATCTTTTAACACTCGGTATACGATGATATACATAATTCCACGAAAAAAAAAGAACCTTCCCCCGATTTTTATTTTTTTGAGTAATTTTTCATAGAACTTTCAAATATAATAATTAATCATTCTTATACGTCACGTCCTGTGTGCATATATTATATATCATATGAAATTGTTTGTCGGAAGGTTTTGAAGCATACGCGGTAGGAAATAATTAGTATGGAAATTAAATATGAAAAATTAATAAGCGATCAACGGCTAAACATGTTATTGGAAATAAAAAATAAAAAAAAAATAAATGAATAAAAAAATTATAAAAAAAATTATATAAACATTTCTTTCCTATGTGTCGAATAGGTGTGGCACGTATTATCTTAAGCGATTATATTATTATAACCACAGTGAATTTATTGTATTATTATTATAATTTATAATCATTAATTTTAAAACGATTATTAATAACTGGCCGCACCGTAGTCTAATTATATCAATATAAATTATAATAGCATATTACACACACGCTTTATATATTTATATATGTAAATACATGATTACACGACTGTTATGTTGCTTTTCATTCGACTCATTACACATGTTATTTTTTTAATTTAACGATGTACTTATGACCGCGCAACGGATATCCAAGAAGAAACATAATTCACGGAAACGATAATATGCATTATTATAATAAAACTCTAATCACTGGTGCCAAATATGTGCATGTATGACGATAAGAAAAAAATCTATCATTAATTAACGTGCAATCGTATCAATAAAGCAATACGATGTGCAGAGACGCTTTCGTGGAGATAATTTGGAGAACAGATTTATTTCCCTAACTTCCTTGGTTTTTGTGAATTTAACACGTAATTTTTTGTAATTAATTTAAAAAAAGCCTTGGAGCAGTGGCACACACTCTCTATGGGCAAAAAACTTCTATGTTTTAGGTCGATATTTCGATGTTTTAACATAGATGATTTGTTTTCAATTAATCGATTAAATATCAATGTTTGTTTCGAAATGTTCGAATTTTTTTTTTGTATTATTTTAGTATGAAGTATACAAAAATCATTGTACAGTATATATTATACAGTTATAATTAGAGCTCGTAAGTTCATGCACTAAAAAACGCATAAATAAGCATGCAATAATGCACTAACATTTGATCGAATATGCATTAAAAATCCTTAACTATTCACGAAAAAAAATATATAAGCATTTTTTAAAATAATAATAATTATCCATTAATATTTTTAAAAGTCATATTTTTTCTTGACTTACATTTTATTAAAATTATAATTAATGACCACACGTTACAACGAAAATTGCAATAGACATGTCAATAGGAGGAGAGTGGTAATTGTAATGCTTTTAACTTATAAAATTTAATGTCATAAAAAAATCAAAATATTGATAAAATACTAAGATTATACTAAGATTTTATAAACAAGTTCAGAAAATTAAATAAGAATAAATTAAAAATTTTATTGACCAATTGTTTTTTTTACATAAAAAACGATTTCGCTGAATTTACATAAAATAATATGTGGTCAAAAAAAAATCAACTACAGTCGATTTACGATAACTCGAAGTTTAAGGGGGATAAAAATTCACTTCGAGATATGTATTCGAGATATCTAACTAATTTATGTGGGAAGAATTTTCTAGAGGAATAAAACACAATTCGAGTTGTCAAGTTTTTCGAATTATCGAGATTCGAGTTATCGCGACTTGACTGCATATGCCAGATACGCCAATACACACAAAACATACAAAAACATGCACTATTAAAATCTAGATTTTTATTACCATTGTTATGAAACGGATTTTTATCTTAATTAGCATATTTTCCGATGTAGCAAAGAAAATTACAAATGGATGAACTTACGAGCCCTGATTATAAGTATTTAATATGTATTTAAAAAATGTTATTTTAACTCTTGAATTTATTATTTAATCAAGAAAATAGTACACTGTACAGATAATAAGGTGTGCAACAGATGGCAGCTCTAGAGGGAAAACATTTTTTTCGATGTTTTTTCACCGATACATCGAACACATCGATATTTTAAAAATCGATATGTCAATACATCGAATATCGATGTTCATACAATTTTGCTCATTCCCACTCTAGTGTGTGCCAAAATATTAAAAAATATTATATAAATATTAGAAATTAACTATAGAATTGGTAATATAACTATTAATATAATATTACCCGTAGTTTAGAACTACTGACCATGGATCAAATTAGCGTTTTGTGCAACTTTCAGGTCATGGTAGGACAAGGCTTTCGCAGTAGCCGAGTCTTCCGATTGGGGTGGGGTACCCCGACCCGTGACCAGCGACTTGGTACCAGTGGAAGGCGTGGAAACCGAGAGAACTAGCACGGGAACCCTGTGTCGTCTATAGACCATCAGCATCGGCCGAAATCGTACCATTTGGAACTAAGCGGGGACTGATTCCCCTTAAGCCCTAACACTGAATGGGAGTTTTATTACTAACTAGCGCCGGTCCCACAACCATCACATTAGGTAACCTAACCTTGGCAAGCTGATCCGACGTATAATAGAGCTCCCCTCTCTCGTTGGACCCATTAGGTTTTTAATTGATATTGATTGATCGACCCGACACTCCGCCGTTTAGAAGTGTCTCCCACTATTTTGATCAATGGATTGATCGGTTAGTGGTGAGCCATCCTCTTAAGGTCGTTTTTTACGACTAGCTGGGTAACTGTCACCATATTCTTTTTTCTAGTGACAGGATTTTTTTTAGATATCTTATAGAAGAATTTTATTTTTTGAAGTGATATCTATGATATTATAATGTTTGATACAATTAATTAATTTTGTTTGTAATTTTTGTAATTTTGTTTATTTCGTATTATTTTTAATTGTTCTCATAATCAGCCCTTTTGCATTGTAGAAATATACAATTAATATTAGTATTCGATTATTGTAAGCACATGTGTGCATGTATCAATAATGTATTTGGCAATTCACTTTTAGTTATAACATTACTGATTATGACATCATTTTCATTGTTAAACTAACCTCGATAGTGCATATATATATAGGAATTTTCAATGTAGGTAATAAACTACTTGCTCTTAAACGGTCATACCGTGAGTACAATCAGTGATATAGTCCAGTTGTATATTACATTTATATTATAGTTATATTACAGTATTTACATAATCATAAAGTCGTGTTACTTATTTATATTAATACCTGAATCATTTGTTTGCTCAAGCTTCATTATTCAACAGGTTATAGGCCCAGATACACAGTCTAGGTAGATTAATGATTGAAGTATTTGTACATTCATATTAACACAGACAACTACAACCAGTCGGAGATAGTCTTAAATTTCAGGAACGTTGGAACAGTCGTATTGGGTAATTTTTGATAATCAATTAGTATACAGGAATCATCAGTCATGGAAGACTCGATGAAGATTACAAAATTAAGTACGGAGAACTGGCCGCAATGGAAATTCCAAATGAAAGTCATACTTAATTCCCTGGAGGTAGGAAGTATTATTTCAGGTGATTGGACAAAACCTAGTTCAAAGACCACAAAGACGTTAGATAAGAAAAATGACGAGGAAGCCAAAATACGATGGCAGAAGTAAACAGCTTAGTTAAAGGTAGATGGTAAATGACAAAAAGTAATTGTTA